CTCGTTTGAATACACGTATGAGCTTTTGGTTGCCCGAGTCCAGTTGTCAGTGGTCCATATACTTAGGATTCTATCTCATCACGGAGATCGTCGTGACAGGATCTCTCTCCCAACCATGATCACACCGCGTTTTGAATGCAGTCAAACACCCAACACAGTCGTAATAAACATCTACTGTCCCTCTGTCCGGGTACAAGACCGTCTCCCACCCCCTAAAATCCGCTGAATCACATCAAGTAGGCTGCAGACGTTGAAATTCACGTCGACGACACGCTCTTCTCACTGCACCTGAATCCGTACTTTCTCCGCCTACACTACCCCATCCGGTCCTCGAGGACGACGATTCGTCCGCCAAATATGATGCTGGGACTGGATATCTCACCGTCACGCTCGCCAAGGCGAACCCGGGACAGGACTTTCCTGATCTGGACTTGCTCTCAAAATTGCTGGCTCCTCGGCCTGCGACGCAGACCCAGCCGCCGCAAATTGAGGTTTAGGCGACGACGATGGAGGTGAGGAAGTGGAACGACATCTAGATGAGGTCGAGGATCTCACCGCTCGCACGGACGCGCTTTCTCTGGAACGAGAGGAGATTCTCCGAGGGCGCTCTGTCTTCCCCTTCCGTAACGGTCACCGTTCTGACGGTGATAGCTGCGGAAAACGACTGGCAACTACCTCCAACAAGTCCCATCTGACGACTACCCGATCTCCATGACGCTCACCCATCCGTACGGATTCTTGAGCCGGTATGGCGGGTACTTCAAACACGCTCAGCACACCGAGAACGAGATCAACGAACTTGGTGGACAAGCCGAGACTTTGTCGTTGCGCGAACGCAGATCGCGCCGGGTTCAGCATGAAAATGCAAAGTGGGATGAGGAGCATTATATGTACGGTGAAATTCGCTTGTTTTCAGCGGCGTGACTGAATCCAGCGTCATTCAGGGCAGACTATGCGGACGATGAATACATCCAGGAACTCGTGCACTGGGTCAACCCCCGCACACAAAACACGAATCTTTCGAGTTCTCAGATCAAGAGAAAGCGGCGTTGCTGAATCTGCCGCGGAGAGAATGTTCGCGTGTTCGGGTTTGATCTAAACATTGTTACTGACGTGGGCGAGCAGATCTATCAGATGAAGCACAGACGAGAAATCTCTATCTGTCGCTAACGACAATCCTCTTCGCCGCGGCCTACGAAGCCCGAACCACGCAAGGCGATCCGACCCCAGAAAGCGCTTGGACGATCTGCATCCTCACACCCATCTTCTCCGCGCTCGATGGCCCCCCGTACTCCACCGACCCACCGTCGTCTGATCTAATCGCCACCTTGGTGCAATCATACCGTCGATCCCTCTCGTTCCCATTGTTCCGGTCCTTTGCCTTGGCCGAAAAGTGCCGCTCTGACGTCGCTGCGCTGTTTAAACAGGGAAAACGCGCGATTCTACGCTGTTTGCTCGAAACAAAACACATTCTCGAGCACCATGAGGTGAATTACGTGTACAGCAAGATCTGGGTCGAGGACTTTTGTGTTTGGGTGCAATCGTGTGCAGAGTGAATAATGCGCTTTCTCTCTCGAAATTCCAGTGGAACTGACAAATGGTAGCGAGGCTACATTGCAGGACCTGGGACGGGAACTGCAGTCGTCGCAAATCTCAAAAGCTTTGATCGGATGGGATCTAGAGGAACTGGAAAGCGCAGCACTGGAAGTCCAAGAGCGAGAGCCTGACAGCGATGACGAATGAGGACGAAGGTGATGAAGTTTCTGCACTGATATTTAACAAACTGTTGATGTTAAACGGGTACTAGCATATTGTGATAATGTACAATGCAGTCAGGAACGAGTGCTGCTGTGTACAGATAGTAGTAGTAGTAGTGATAGAAACCAACCCAAGAAAAAGAAAGCAGCTGTGTCCATAAGGGGGTGGATCGTCTAGAATGGCGGTTATTATCAGGTTCACCTCCCATTCGCAAGTTCAATGTAGCGGGTCTTCCTCTTCATCGCACGGGAGCTCGATTTCTCGTCGTCGTCCCCTCCCCTTCTCGAGTGCCGTTCGCACAACATGCGGCCGTCAACCTCCCAGTAATCATCCAGTCGTTCCCTGCAGCCTGCAGCATATTCACACAGCATGTGGTCAGGGTGGTAACGGTCTCCAGCATGCGAAACCGCGCACGGGCCCTCGATGGGCTGTCCACAGCTTGATGCCGCGCACAAAGACTCGTTGGCCTCGTGATAGTGATACTTGCACATAGGCTTGTGCTCGTGAACGTAAAACGTCTTGTCCGGGAACGGTTTCTGTGCAAGCTTAGTGGAGGCACTCGGCCTGACAGAGTGAGAAACTCACATGACAAACATGGCAATTAAAACATTCACGGTGGTATTTGCCTTTAAGCTGTCCGTCGGAGGATGATACGGCCTGTTTCTCGATTGGCAGATTGCACCTCCGGCACTGATTACAGGGTCAACAAACCAGCTTCTCCAGTGAATGGCACTCACCTTGGGCAGATACATGTTCTTCCAACATCTCTCACACAGAACCCCGCCCTCGTCCATCTGCACCCATTTACCGTCCTCAATCTTCTTCTCGCAGCGCACACAGATCTTGGGTTTGCGTGCAGTCCGTTGTGGTTTCTCGGCGGACTGTTCGGGAGATCGAGATCGCTGCGAGGCCCCGTTATCGCTCGTTGGCTTTGAGCGCACACTGGCCAATTCCTCAGGACGTCGCCACAGCGAAGACGAACTATCAGCGCTCTCCTGCTGTCGGCACGACTATGAATACTGCGCGACGAGGGCTTTTCAGGACCGCCTCGTGCGCTGTCACTCGAAGATCGAGGGAGATCAAACGAGTCTCCTGCACGCGCAGATTTGACTGGGCTGTCTTCTCCACCATAATCCGATCCGCTGTCGGAGAGAGAATCTTTCCGCGGTCGAGTATTCCCGCGTGCAGAGGACTGCACAGATCGTATCGAGGGCGCAGGCGGGCTCTTCACTCGCGCTGGCGCTACGCGTTCGTTGGCTCGCCTCAGGTCCGCCGCGTCGTCGTCGTCGTCACCGTCTTCATAATCCGTCGAATCTGCATAGGCCAAGCCATACGCAGACCCAGAGCTCTCCGAACGGAAGTGTTCCTTTTTCGAATACCTGCTGCTTCGTGATGAGACGGACGCCGAAGACTGATGCACACGGGCGCCAGTTCGTGATGGTGGGGAGGGCGAACGACGTCTGCTGAACAACTCTGGGGACTGTGGCGATTCCGGGTATGACGCTATTCCCGGCGAGCCAGAAGATCCCGTGGAGGTCGAGAGTGGTGGCGTAGATGTGGCTGATAAAGAAACAGTCAGAGAGTATGGATCGGTTGTTGCGACACTCACAGCTTGCAGCACCGGTGTCGATGTTCCTAGGCGGACTCGCGCGTACAGTGGATCCTCCGGTCCCTGACGGCGAAACGGTGAACATCGCAGCCCTCGCAGCAGCAGCGAATCCTCTGCGGCCCACCCCGGCCATTCCCGCTTCCCCGCCGGATTGCGTGTTGATTAACGAGGGCTTGGCTACCCCCGCGGGCGGCTGTTGCTGCACCGCCGGCGTTTCACGTGTAGATGAGAAGGAAGGTCGGGCCGTGACGGGAGAAACGGGGGAAACGCCAACACTCGATGATCCCGATCTCGCACGCGTAACGCCGGCCGACAGACCGGACACAGGCGATGCAGGCTGGTCCATGCGCGATAACGGGCTCGAGCGCGGAGGAGCGGCGAACGACGACGGTGCACCTCCCGTGTTGACTCTGGAAGGGATTGGGCGTTGGGACAGTGCCGGAGATGCTGCCCGTATGGAGGGCTGGGGAGACGCTGTCCTTAACGTGGGCTGGGGGGACGCTGTTCGAGCCGGGGGGATGGCCGCGGAACTGCGAGGGGGAGGGATCCCGGGGAGCACCGGGCGCGTTATTGTTATTGTTGTTAACAAGACCTTGCAACCGTTGCGGTAGGAGCGACGCTGCTGCTGCGGGAGAGATGGAGGGCTTGGGTATATTGAGACCAGACGTTTTGAGGCATTGGGAGTGGGGAGCGGGGGGACAGGAGCACAGATGTGATCTCCGAGCTCGGCGAGAGGGACAGGCTGATTGCAATTGGAGCATTTGACGCTGGGGAGGACCTGCGATATGCGCCCAGCGGGTTGGGAGGGGGTTGACATGAGCATTGGAATGAGAAAAGAGCGTTAGAGAAAGAAGAGGTAGATATGGTACGTCCAGCGCGACTGCCTAGTGGTGGGGGTGCATGAGAGAAACAATGGTCACGCCAACCGAACGTCTGCATGTGGTCACGACCAAGCGATTTGATGGTTCATCACCGGTGATTATTGGAGATTTGCAGAAGCCTGGCAACGAGGACAGCAGACAATGCATGTAGGATGATATGTACATGAAGCTCCCCAGAGTCCTCGGAGACGATGAGTATTACAAAATGTTGGTCGCACGACCCCGGTCCGAACGTTCGGCTAACGTTATAGAATCAACCACCCAACCAAAGCAGTCTCTTCACTCCATATTCCATCTTTGCGTACATGCTGGTCATCCGCTGAGCCTCGGACAAGCTGGGGCACATGCATCAGTCAATCATTTGGAGCGGACATGTGCTGTGTCGTACCTGACCACGTCTTGGTCAACGACCAGGTCGGCATCGTTGCCGATATCCTCGCAGGCTCGTCGTATGCCGTCAACCATCAAATCTGCAGCCTCTCGACAACAGCTGGCGTTGCCCAGCTCGTCAATCGAGTCCAGATAAGCACTCCCGCCCAGCGAACTGATGCTGCTGTCTCGACGACTCCGCGTCGGATCAATCGGCAGGGTCTTGAAGGCAGCAAAACTGTTTGTCATGGGCACTGTCGGACCCATCATCCGGGCGGTCATCGAGCTGCTCGCTGGTCCAGTAGCCCGTCCCAAAGAGGAAGGAATGCGTGAAATGCTTGCAGCCGCAGCCAAAGACTTGCTCTTGAAGGTCGAATCGGAGCGAGACAGGGCTTGCAGAGTGTTGCGGATCGAGTAGCTCGAGACACGGGTCGTCTCATTCAGGGTTGTCCAGGACACGACGAATCCGGAATTCTGGTCGGGGTCACAACTGGCCTCTTCGAGGGGGACAAGATATAGGCCCCTGTATCGACCTGAATTGAGCTTCACCTGAATTGAGAATGTCAATCGCTCTCACCCTTTGATATCTGGGTAATGTCTCCAAGCGGGATCCGGGTATACATCTTCACCTTCTCCAGGTATAATCGTAACTCTACTGCCCGTGAGTTACAGACAGTCAGGAGTTGGCATAGACCCACGATGATATAATGCAGAAACTGTCTGGAAGTTCGTCAGTCTTTGTGTGAACTATCGGGCTATGAGTCAACGCACCAGGAGGAGGACCTTCTCTTCAAACTTGTCCCCTATCTTTGCATTCAACTCTTCGGGACCAAAAACAGTCCACCCCGAAAGCAAGCGCTCTCCATCCTGCAAGACACGGGATACGGAAGTAGCAATGGCTTCTGTTCTAATCTTGGACAACCGAATCAGATCGCGAGGGTCTGTTGATTGCAGCTTCAAGAGGAACTCGGAAAACACCGAGATCGTCCGGTTTCCAAGGGTGAAGTCAATCACAGCTTGGGAGAACCAATCGCTGAATGTCGAGGTGTACATTCTTTGTGATTTTAAGGCCATGGCGACGATGCTAAGAGATGATGCCTACCTCGCGAGAGAATTGACACCGTCGTTCAGCATTCCACTCAGATCCCGTTTGCCTGTTCTTGTAAAGTCGCCTTTGAGGGCAGAGGTGCCGGCACTGGAACATATCAGATCAATACCGAGTTCGGGTGAGAGCAACACCCACTAGGCGCGACTGATCGCATCACCGTTATTGGCCCAAACTGAAACGAACGGCTTCAGTTGCGTGCTATGAGCGGTTTACTGAGACCGACCATCATTGAAGACATTATCTGCTTCGGTACGCCCGTCCGAAGACGGATGTGTCAACGCAACAGCACTGAGCTGATTGTTCATCACATGGCGAGCGAAGGCAGACTGGACAACATTTGTCCGGTCGAGACAGTCGATGCAGTTGACACGGTAAATGCCTTTCTGAGACGACATCGTGTAATTTCCCGAGATCCAGAGATATCTAGATCTCCCTCAGCTACGACACATAAACGGCATTTGTGAACGTACCCCTGTTGTTCGAATGTACGCTCCATCGTGTCAATCAATTGCGAGATGTTCTCATATCTCAAACCACATGAACACGAAGCACGGATCCAGAAAAAGAGACGCACTTCATTCCTTTGGTCTCCTGGTGGAAATCATATTCATGATAGACAGCATCCTTCTCAGCCAGTTCGGCCATGTAATCGCGGTAAGCGCCAGTCACTTGCCCTTCCTTGCCGTGCTGCTCAGCCAGATTGACGACCGTCTGAGTCACATAAGCCGTCGCGCGAATTCAGAACTGGGCCAACAAACATGAGGACCGTATCTTGGGATGGTGCGTAAGAAATGCCTTCGGATGGCATCCAGATTCTGGGCGTGGGTGCGATCGGTGGCCAGAACAGGCGGAGGCTTCAGCGCAAGTCCTGTTTGGGTCCAGAATAATGGGACTGGAGAAACGTCAGTTGAGAGTGTGTAGCCCCCCAAATGCTGCTCACTAGAGCCCCGGAGCTGTACATATGAGAAAATATTTGGTGAACCCTCGCGCTAATCGCAATCAGTCAGTTGTCGCAAGAGATCGGGATCGTACGGCGACGGACCTCAAGACGAAGGATAGTCTCTGTCTCAACGAAGTTGGCTACATGGGCATCATCGTCGATGCCCCGGCGCTGATAGCGCAACCCCGCTCTATCTCTCGACCGCCTCGATATGATGGTGTAATCCGCTGGCGTCACCTCCTCAGACTCGGAGGGAACGTTGAAGGTCGAGCTTTGAAAATATCCCTGCATGACTGGCAAAACGAACGGATGAACCTGCAGGTAGATCAGCGAAAAAGAACAGATCATCAGACGTGGCATGTCGTACCCCTGCATCCACAAACGGCTTTGACATCCATTCATTCCACCAGAACTGTCGATCCACTCTGCGCCAAAGAGGCAGAGTAGGGTGCGGCTCAACCAGGGCATCGACGGTGCCGTCACTCGAGGAATCAGCCGGCCCCGCAGAATCGAGAGCGTCCAGGTCAGCCAGTAGCGCGTTCTTCTTCTGCGAACGGGCAACCAACTCTTGTTTCTGCTGCAGAGATCGCGTCAGATCTATTTTCAAGTCAGATCACGAGAACCTGGGATGAAGCAACGCCCGACCGAAAGTGTACGCAAAGTACATTCCCCCCTTGGAAAACTCGCGCACAACTTCCTTCACGATCTTGTCCTCGAGTTCAGAATGCCGTTCTTCAGCCGTCGAGGGAGCCGGTGCCACGGCTTCGACAAGCTTGTGGATAGCAGCAGCCGGTTCTTCTCTGTGAAGATCGATGACCTCGTCCAAGGATCCCGACTCGGGAAGCGTCGCGCCATCAGGCGTTGGAGGTGCAGTGGCAGTGCGCTTCGTCAAGCGACTCCAGAACGATAGCCGAGACGCAAGAGTCTTGACAACCGGAGAAGAAACGGCAGACTGATCGTCTGCTAGGGACGACAAATCGGAAGTCGAGGACAAGGGCGAAGTGGGGGCCGAATGGTCTTTGGGGGTGAGGCTGAAGCTGGAATCGATGGGGGTCATAACGTGCACATCGTCCGTCGTAGAAAACTGAACGCGGGGCGGTGAGCGGGGGACCTCGGTATCCGATGCGATGCTCTCGACCTCGGTGTCGTTGTCGGAGACGATCGAGTCCAGAGTCTTACTCTGCGCTATCAGCGACGGTCGCGCGGCATGGGTATTTCGGGATGCCAGAGTGTTCAGAGCGATCCTAGCTCGATGCTCGACTAGCGGAATGGCGGTAACTCCTTTGACATTGTACACGGTACGCGACGCGTCCAAACCTTGCGTCAACAGTTGCTGTCAATCACAAGACGAAAACATCAATGTAGCCGACTTACACTGTCCGGCCTCCGATTTGCCACTCAGCACAAGCAGATACGACGCTATGTATTTAGGTTAGCGAGCGTGCGGCAAACAGGGGCGAGAAACGCCCAACCCGAAAAAGCTCCAGAACGCCGATGATTCCATATACAACGACACTTTGGGACCAGTCTGCATCTTCAGATTCAACGCCATCTCCCTGAATCTCTTCCACCTTCACTGTCTTGTTCCAAGCCAACCGCAGATGAGATGTCGGTCCCGGCTCCGAGGCGGACAAGCCGGGAATATGTTGGCGCAGCAGAAGGGCGCCGGAGGTGACTAGGAGGGCTATATGGTCGTAGGGGCATGGATGTGGGACGGGCGGAACGACATATTTCGGTTGCAGTCCAGTGATGTGCGGGGAATTTATGGACGTCGGAGTTGACGAGGCTGGCAGACTTGAGGATGCCTGCGCTGCAGGTGGAGACTTCGGTGGGCGAGAGAAAAGGCGCTTCATCGTGCGTGCTCCGAACCCCGCGCGAACGAGTGCGGTACGAGAGGAATGCCGAAAGGAATGTAGGGCACGTGCCAGGGAGATTAGATGACGTCGATCAATCTTGTGCCAACTTTAGTCTTGCAGTTTCAACTAGACCTACATGACTCAGACAGGCAATCTTCTCAATGATAGCGAGACAACAGAGATTTGAGAAAGTTCGAAATCGTTACAAAACATTATTCACAGCAAGAAAGAGGTAAGGACAGCGTCAATATATGTTACTGGTGGTTTCAATTGTGTTCATCATTGTGGCACGGGCCTCTGGTAGCCAGGCATGGCACTCGTATTTTCTGCCGTGGTGCCTGGCAGAGTCTGACTGATGCGAGAGAAGAAAGTGTCCCATTGGCCTGAAAAAAGATGAATACTGGCATGAGGATAAATCGAGAGCAACGAACCCCAATCAAACATGCCCCCGGGTATACCCTCCAGGAATGTCGTGTCTGTGATGGCCAGTTCGGCGAGCGAATTACTAGATGCCGCCTGCGGAAGCTGGTCGAGGGCGTTCATGACCTGCACCGGCTGGTTACCGGACGGCCCCATGTTCATCGCAGGGTTGACGTTAATATGATTACGCCCCGTGGGTAAGGGTGTGAAGTTGACCATGCTACCCGATGGAGCGCCAGCGGTGCTCGGACTGCCGAGCAAAACAGCTGCTTCCCCTTCCCGGACAACGGTGCCTTGTGGCAAGTCATCCAGACCAGGCGAATCGCTTTGGGCGATGAATACACCGCCCCCCGGCCGTGTGGGATCGGGCTTGTAATTGAGCGCAAGGGGCTGCTTGCCCTTGACACCCCCGGTAGGATTCAGCGCAGGTATTTCCAGCGGCAATTGCGGACCCTGAGTAGCCTCAAACAACAGGGTGATAATTTCGGCAGTCTGCAATAGGGACTGTCAGCTCTGAAACGCAATCTGATAGACACAATATCACCTTGCGCCTGGCGGACATATGATCGGGTGAAAGAGACCCCTCCCATCTTCGCACACAGTCTCTGAGCTTCCTCAGCCGAGCAACAGCCTCCGGGTCTTGGCGCCGGACCCATGTGTGGTATTGCACAAAAGCGCATGATGTGGCAGCATAGGCCACCAGCAGCCAGACATCGTAAACGCGCTCATGAGCATCCAACCAATCAATGCTTTCGCCAGTGAGAGCAACTAATGTAGTCCATTGCGGCACGGTCAGACCGAATTTGAGATGGGCAGGGCAGGCATAGCTGATGCGCATAAACACCCGCCAGAAGATCATGCACACTGAGATGTATAGCAGGTGCAGAATACCGCCGCTTTGGCTTGTCTCGGGGCCCTTGAATCTGAGGCTCTCAGGCAGGTTGGCCTTCCAGTTTTCGATGTCTGAAAGTAGCTTATGGAGCACATCATCGGTCACCAGCGTGAGACCAGACGGGCTGTCGCACATTAGACAATTCATATGACGGGCAGCTGCAACGTACCTGTAAATGGTCTTGACAACTCGGCCCCCGATAACACTCAGTCGCACGAGCTCATCCAGGTATATGTCTTTGGAATCTCCGGACGACGGCAATCGCACGTCGCAATCATGCACGTCGATCATTTGCGGAAAACCGTACACCAAACTCGTCCTAGAATGAATTTTTAGTGCTGTTGAACAGCCGAATGCACACGTCAACTCACCAACGGTCGCTGATCAAACACGCACCCCAAACTCGACGGCGCAACTCAATGTCAACTTTGACCATCTCCGCGCGATGAAGTCCGAGATCTTGCGCCTGTCAATACTGTCAATGGAAAGTTCCGTTGTAAGAATCGACTGACCATGCGGATGGCGGCACCCAGTCTTGCCCACATCGCAGACAACGCTGTGGGAACAAACTGCGAGTGGCAGTCGCCGGTCATGGACAAGATGAGGAGCGCTTGCACGTTCGCCATAGTCGGTGTGCTCAAGACGTCTTCGCCCCTGATCACACCATTGACTGCCCAACGGATAGAATCAAATAACGCCTGAGGAACTTCCCTCCTGGCGGCCGCAACGAGACACATAGACCAAAGCAAGATGGGCGGCGGCGAAGAGAGCGCAAGAAATTCTGGCTTCGTGATGATAGGGAGCAGAGGTTGAACATCTGCGAAATAGGAGTTCAACAATTGCTCAATCATCGCCGGATCGATGGAGTAGTCTATCGGCCGCGGCGTCGAGGTCTCCTGTTCGCTGCTCAGAGGCTTGGCAACGCGAATGAGCCCGTCGCCATTCTGAGAGACTTCGAATGAATGGTGATAACGAGAGTCGTAACCTTCGTAGATTCGTGATGAAATCGAAGCCGTAGAGTGGAGCAGATGAGCTGGGGACGTTGGCCCTACTACGCGTTAGAGCAAGTGAGAGTGAAGCGACTGGTACACACCAAGAACACTACTATCACGCTGCTTGTCGCCGGAAAGAGATTTTGAGGGCTTGGCAGCTTGACCAGCTTGACCAGCTTGACCATCCTTCTCGCCCTCCTCAACAAACTTTTTCTTGCGGAATCGCGTCTCCGCAATCGGCAGAAAAAAGGTGCAATCAAAGCAGAATTGCTGACAGTGTTGACATCTCGCTGGTTCAGAGTCGGTGATGATGTCGCAGCGAATCTTCCGCGACCGACACGAGTCACAAGCACGCTGAGTCTTGGTGCGCTTCTTGAGTTCAAGAGCGGCTGCCGCAGCGCGTGATTGGCTAGGCGAGGCGGCATCCGCCGATTCCCCATCATCGTCAGAACCTCCCTTATCCTTACCAGCTGGTTGAGACTGTTTGCGTTTCCGCTTTTGTCCGGCAGCAGAGGCGGAATCCTGCGCTGCGGTCGCGAGCGCAGCTGGTTCTGCGGGTGGGTGGGCAGGCGGGGGCGGCCCATACATCATGACCTGCGGAGGGTACTGCGGGTAATAGTGCGGGTAAGGCGCATGATGGACAGGATACGCGTATTGCGGTGCACCTGGGGCACCTGGAGGCGGAGGGGCGGCTGCATATTGTTGAGGCGAGAAGGTGGGAGGATATGGTGGGTTCATGATGTATGGGGGATAAGGGAGAGCCGTGGGATGCGGAGGGGGAGGAGGGGGTGCCGGCGAAGCTGTTGCAACATAGTTATTAGTTACCTTGCACAGTTAAGGAGGATGGGGAGCCAGACAAGTACCGTCGGGGGCGGCGGCGGCTGCTTGCCTGCGGGGTTGCCGAGATTTTTTGGACGTCGGCTTGACGGCCACAGTTGAAGCCTCTGGAGGTGCAGGTGCCGGAGCGGGGACTGCAGGTGGCGATGACATGGTTTCTCGGCTCTTATCTAAACCGCCTTTCTCCACAACAATTTTTAGGAGAACTCTTTAGGACTCACCTCAAGCCTTTCGGCGCTTTGGTCGTTTGGGGGCGGAAACAAGATGCGGCACCTACGGATCATTGAATTCAAACTCAGCCCCGCTCAACGCGCAAAATCAATTCAAAAAACTGATTCGGATCTCTGTCCGAATCTCCGATCTTTCGACAGATTTCCTTCCATTCGCGTGGATGTGGAGCCACAATGATCGATGACGTAGAAGATCGAGATTGAGGTGGATATTTTTGAAATGCAGATGCTGGCACGGGAACCCGCTCGAATGCTACTTGGCCGTAGTCAATCCTGCAAGTTAGTGCAGTCAGGCCAGACTTGAAAGCGCGAATGTTCCGCCGAGCTCCAATTCAACATCATGACGTCACGGTAGATCCTCGGCCGAATCTCACGGACCAAGCGCGGACATATTCATTTGATCAGGTTGCTGACTGGCGGCCCTCCGGGCGAAAAAAACTCGCCCGGGTTTCGAATCTTAGGATATAGTTTACGTGCATCTTGGAGCCCAACCACGGGCAGTATGTATGAACTTGGCAGGGGACGGGGTCATTTGGGACAGTCTATGTCTCAGCAATGCCTCGAGGCCAGGGACTGAATGCAATTGTGATGTGATGGCTGATGAAGTCTTTTTCCATCTACTCTGTAGACTCCTACTTACGTGGACAACCCGGAGATATATGCAGATGTTGTATAATTTAGACTAGATCAAGACAGATGTATTACTCAACGAGTTTGCATCACCCCGGATTCACCTGTCGTCCGTCCCGAGTCGCTGGACTCGCAAAATCCAGCCACGAAAAGCCCACGGGGCGACACAACACAGCCGCAAGATTGCGGCGCCACGAGCCGTGTGAAAATGGATTGGGAGGAGCTGGTCCAGGCACAAGGCTTTTGTGCGCTTGGTTGCGGATCTGCGGACAGATCGTGGGCAATCGATCCGAAATTCTCGACAGAGGGAACGTACCTGCTCGATGGTGGTGATGTTTAACAGAAGTAGCTAGTGACGGAGATTAGCTTTTGGCATTGCATCAGCTGCGGACGTACTCGGACGTGGTACAACATCAGAGCGGACACGGGCCAAACAACCGCCACAGACAGGATGAAGACAATGACGCTCCCCCACCCCTTTCCACCGTGATCGCCGAGGGCCTGCCTGAATGTCTCGTGATTTCTCCGTGTCAGAAGATACAGGTGGATCGCGGAAGTGCAGAGAACGAGAATGACGGTCAGGGTGGCGGAGACAAGCAGAACAAAGAAGCAGGTGTAATTGCGGCGCCCCACGCAGTTATTAACCCACGGGCAGTGGTGATCGCAGTCATCCACACAGTTATCGCACTGGACGTGGATCAGAAGGAAGCCGCGCCTGAACCAGAAGCTACGCACCATTTTGCAGTGGCTGGATCGAGGGGGGCGATATGTTTTACACGTTGGACAATACTTGACTCTCACGCTGCACTCTGGTTAGCACATAATTCGGAATGCATCCGTCGAGACACTCACACGTCAGACCGAACCTTGAGGTCTCTAGGCATAGGCGCTCTCCTACTTCCGTCTGATGGTGATGTGGCTGGATACGGAGGATCTGGGTCCAAACCCCGGGGAAGGATTCCTGGGTCTCGGAAAGCAGTAGCTAGCATGCTCGATATCGTGATCAGGGTCATGTATCCGCATACAATGGCCGCAGCAGGGCTCAAGTTGTGCCACCACCATGGTCCCGTCGTCCCAAACCAGACACCGGCGATAGTAAACAACAACGTCAGAGATCCAATAAAAGCGTAGGGCGAGTCGCCCCCCGAAAGCACGTGCCCATTCAAGAAAAACCGATTTCGTGAAGGATGCAGCTGATAGTTTCGGAAAGGCTTCTTGGTGTCTGGATCAATGTCGGGCAGTGCCTCCAGTGATGGTCCATCGTGAATCCCTCGAGGCGCAAACCCAAATGACGGTACAGGTGAGTCGAGAGGGCTGTGGAGAGCCTCGGAGGGGAAGTCCGTAGGCGCCATCGACGTCTTGTACGGAGAGGCAGAGGGAATGTCGTATAGACCCATCCCCACGTCTTCGTCGCGGGCTTTGCCATCATGGGGCGAACGCCCTTCAAACGTCGACCCCATCCCAACACCTTGGTGTATCGACTCCACACTCATCCCTCGTCGCAGACTGAAAACGCGCTCAAGACTGTGGCGGATCAATCGACCAGTGGCACTGCGAGGGGCGGGGCCAGCATTTTCGCTGTTTCCGCTCGGGCGAGGAGATAACGCAGGTCGAGTATTGATAGTTAGCGGGGGATCGCGTACCGCCCTCGACCCTTTATGATCTTCTTCAGTCGTTCCACCAGCGATGCTTCCCGTGTGCTCGTCTGAATCGCTGGACAGTCGTTTAGTAAGTGACGTAAGGTTGTAGACATCTCCATCGCCTGGAAGTGCTGAGGAAGACTCTACGGATGGCTGTCTGTACTGATGGTTGGGACGCGACGGCCGAAAGAAAGAGGCAGATGGTTGGATGCCACCAGCGTGCGTGGTGCTATTATAATGGTATTGGGACGCGAAAGTCGGCACGGTGGGAGAGCGGGAAGGCTCTACACGCGGTGAAGAAAGGGGCGAGCTTGTTCCGTTGCTTCGTGTACCGTAGCTGGCTTGTGGGCCATGTCCTGAAGGACTGTTGGAAGCAATCGCAGTGAGAGTCGAAGGGAGAGGTAATTGTGAAGGAGAGGGCTTGTCCGGGAAGTTGGGAAATGAAGGTGACGAGGTCATGCCGAAAGCATGCAAGAACAGTAGAAGGTTCCAACGAAGAGGTATCGGAGGGGCTTGACAGGGCCTTTCAAATGCCTCGCATCGTCAATCTTATTCGTGGCTGTGCTCTACAAGGCTTTCACACGCTCGTTCTGTTTTTAGATGGCATGGCTTCTAGGTTAACCAATGCGGTCTTGTACGCCTCTATCCCAGATCTATCCATCCCATACTTCCTGGCTACTGCGATCACCGAAGGGGCCCGTCGCACACACGGCCGTCTGATCATCGTTCTCACCTCACCCGTATTCGCGGACAGTCAGGCCGTCTCTCATGCCGCCACTTGGAAGCTAGTACAAACGCTGCTTACGTTCGTCTACGTGCAAACGACCAAAGTTGCGCAGGAGATGAACAAGATTCTATTGGAAGTGGATGTGCTCCTCCGCGGCCCTCACGACGCGGCGCCGGAATATCCCACTCCGCCGGAAGCGGTATTTTATGTCGATGGCGGTACGACCAGTGGAACCATTCTCACTACATCTCTCTCACGCTGCGCAGATTCGATTGAGATCCCGTCCGCTTTCGCTACGCTCCCCCGTTTCGTACTTCCGAGAGAGAGCGCGCGGAGGACCGAAGCAGTAGTACTCGACACCGCGCACCATCACCCCTCGATGTATCCCGTCGTAGCTCTGGGTGGGACTTTCGATCATCTCCATGCGGGGCACAAAATCCTTCTCAGTGTCGCCGCATGGCTTGCGTCGTCCAAGCTCATCATCGGCATCACGTCGGATGCTCTACTCACTCGCAAGGCATACGCGAGTGTCCTGGAATCGCTATCCCAACGCAAATCGGTGACCGAACGGTTCATGCGTGCGTTCCGGCCCGATCTTGTGTACGATCTTGTTGAGATCAGTGATGTTTATGGCCCAACTGGATGGGACCCAGACATCCAGGCCCTGGTCGTGAGCAAAGAAACCCTTTCTGGCGCAGATGCCAGTGAGTTGTCTCATTCTCTTGCTCTTCTATGAAGCTCAACGGTGTATGCAGTTGCCACTCATCGCGCGGCGCAGAACCTGCCAGCTTTGGAGACATTTGTAATCGATGTTATATCGGCTACTTCGACTAGCCTCGGTGAAACGGATGCTGATGCTTTGCGACAAGCGAAGATGAGCAGCACCTACATTCGCCAATGGATTGTGGAGAATCAGAGGTCCACTTGAGAGCTCAGTTGTGATCCATATATCCCACCCGCCTTGTAACTGAAGCCCATTCTGTATTATTTCTCTGGATGTACCAATTCTCCGTGAATCTCACGGTCTGTTCTCTGCAGATTTCGGATGGGTTTCTTCTGTTCTGATTCAGTATCGGATTAGATCGTGTACCAACCACGTGCTGTCAAGAAGCCTGCCGAGCCTGCCGACGACGATTGACACAAGTACATAACTTGCATGTCAACCATGATGATTTCGATTCTGGGGGTCTCACTACTTCTCGGCTCTTGACCTCGACATGGCTCCTGTCCGTTTATCTATAGCATGCTGGGATTATGATCGCATGAAAGCTATTGAAGACGGTCGTGTGAGGCCAGAGGGTATCGAATTGACGTTCTTGAACCTTAGGTATGCCAGGTCTTAATTGCGAGATCTCGTGTCTCATCCTCCGCACTAGGGTGGAGGAAACGTGAGCGGACTTTCATCTCGAGCGGACTTCTTTTCCGATGAATTTATTGTGCAGCTTCTTCCGCCAGCTGAGATATCAGGAGTTTGACATCAGCGAGATGTCCCTGTCGTCCTATGTGGTATGCCACCTGTGCCATGGGATTATCGTCGCGTCATGCTCTCCAGCTCACGCTCAACTCTGACGATCCTCCGTTCATCGCACTGCCGATCTTCCCGTCGCGAATGTTTCGTCATCAGTCGATCTACGTAAACCTCAAAGCAGGAATCCAGAAACCAGCGGAACTTGCAGGCCGCCGCATCGGCACACCCGAGTTCCAAATGACTGCGCCTGTCTGGCAACGTGGCATCCTGCAAGATCAGTACGGTCTGCAGTACGACGCCCCGCATTACTTCACGGGGAATGTCGAGCCCTCGACCGAAGAGCGTCACGAGAAAGTCCCTCTGAAGTTGGCGGATAGCGTCAAGATCCAGCCCATCCCGAAAGGAAAATGTCTCGCTCAGATGCTGGCTGATGGGGAGATCGACGCACTCGAGAGCGCGTGAGTTGCCAGCCGTTTCTCTGCATCCCCATGTCACGCTCAACGCTGTTGCTCAGAACCGCGCCGTCGACCTTTGGCACGCACCCTGACGTCGGTAGATTGTTCCCAAACGCACAGGAAGTTGAAAAAGGTAGGGTTGGTTGATGCTCTGATGTGAACGTGTCTCCTCACTCCCTCACGCAGCCTACTTCAAGGAAACTGGGATTTTTCCCATCATGGTACGTCCAGCAGTCGCTGACGAGCACTCGAATCGCTAAACCACACTCTCCAGCACGTGATTGCTGTGAAGCGCTCGGTTCTGAAGGAGAATCCGTGGATTGCACGGTCGTTGACCAAAGCGTTTACCAGCTCCTTGGAATATGCCTATGACGCAATCCACGAAAGAGCTGCTCTGCGGTCAAGATGGTGATAGCATCTCCAAATCTCAACTCGCTGACTCGCTCGCAGCTACATCTTGCCATGGATGCAATTCCATGTTGAGGAGACACAGGCCGCGTTGTGCGTTGACGGGCAGGCCAAGTGGTGGCAGGATGGGCTCACCACTCAGAATGTCCGCACTCTGGACAAATTCCTCGAGGCATGCCTTCTTTCTCAGCTTCTGCAAGCAATGTAATCTGACGCCGCACAGTATTCGTTCAGCCAAGGTCTGGCAAAGAAGAAATGGGAAGTCAAAGAGCTGTTTGCTCCGGGTTCCCTCGAGGCCTTTGTCGTGTAACTGTAGATCCGAGGGCTCGATTTTCAGCTCAAATCGGTCGTCATTCTCAATTCAATTGGTTGTGCATTACCCCTTGCCATCTTTGAGTTAGTGGGCTCGTCATTGGCAACGGCGCAAGCACTTGACTGAACGCAAGCGATGAATTGGATTATTTTCTCTCTCAAGGAGTGGTGCAATTGGAAAAAACCCTAGCGGGAGGTCCAAAGACATTCTGAACTCTTCTGCTGAACCCATTGTCGCTCAAACACAATGAACTCGTTGGCCAACCATGAACCCATCAAGCCAACTTCTTTCCAACTTCCTACTCATGACTTCTGGGATAGGAAATATCTACTCAGCCATTGAACACAATGTGACTTGTGTCTGGTCCAAACGGTATCCGGTCGACTCGTTATCTCTGCTGGTTCTCTTGGTGACTGTATCAGATTTCGAAGTACCGGAACTGCCTCAGGACCAGTCTCACAACGGGGCTCCAACTCCAACCATGGGGTCCTTCTAGTCTCGATCGCGTGGTGTGGATAAATGACTACGCAGCCAGCACGTCGTCCTTACTGAACCGTCTGCCGCGCCTCGTCTTCGAAAATCTCATCTCTCCTACGGTCGTGGCAAGTATCGATCTGATTCTCTCGCAAAGTCAGAGTCCTAATCTGCTGTGGTATCTGCTTCTGAACTCTGCGTAGGGTCGCACTCTGCATCCGAGGTATTCTGGGTGGACAAATCTTGATGCAGACCGAAATCACGACCCACATCACTCCGAGCACGGTGGGCAACAATTCGTTCCCCTCGTTCTCCTCATGAAACCGATCGGCGAGATAGATTCGGGATCTTCGGGGTGGAGCTGCAGGAATCGATTGGGACCCCGGCAGATCCCATCTCGTCTTGTAGATGTATTGTACATAACGAATTCATGCGTGCATTACTTATCGTCTTGTAAGATATCCTCCATCTGACTTTCCTCGTGATCTTTCTGCAGCGCGATCAAAAAGTCTTGTAGCCCGTCCCCTTCCATGACGGAGGTAAGATTCATCAACGAGAGCCCGATACGATGATCCGTAACACGCTCCTGGGCGTAGTTGTACGTGCGGATCTTGTCACTGCGGTCGGCGCTCTGGACGAGATTCCTCCGGCTCGCTCGCCGCTCTTCCATCTCACGAGCAAGCTTGACTTCCATCAGCCGACTCGCGAGCACCTGGAATGCACGCCGTCGGTTCTAGTCGGAGTTCAGAACACTATCATGGACCCATTCGAAACGAAACGCACGGTATGTTGAGAACGCTCGTCCTGCATGGCCACAGTGATTCCCGTGGGGATATGAGTCAGTCGAACGGCCGATTCGGTCTTGTTTACATGCTGCCCGCCAGCGCCTCTAGCCCGCATGACCTCGATTTTGATGTCGCTCATCGAATACAGCTCCTCCTTCTGTACTTCCGATTCCTCAACTAGCGGAAGAACCTGCCATTGAGAATTTCCGCGTGTGAGATTCAGAATATACTCTCAAGACAAAGCACTCACCACGACCGCTACTGTGCTTGTATGTGTCCTCCCGCTCTGCTCCGTCGCCGGCACTCTTTGCACACGATGCACGCCGGTCTCCAAACTGAACGAGTCATACGCCCCGACGCCCTTGAACTCCACCACAGCATCCTTGATCCCGCCCGAGTCCAGGTTATTCTGCGACACGACATTTGCTTTCCAGCGCGACGTCTGCGCGAGACGTAGATACATCCGCAGCATGTCTCCGAGGAAGAGCGACGCCTCCGAGCCGCCGACGCCCGACTTGAGTTCGACCAGGGCAGATAGATGCGAGGTGCGTGACGGGGGTACGAGGATTCTGGGGAACTCTGTGGTTAGCATGTCCTGCATCGCCTGGGAGAGCATGTCGTAGTCTTCCGACGCCATGGAGCGCAGGTCCGGATCGTCGAGCAGCGTGGTGGTCTCGCGCAGGGCCTGCAAACTGGTTATAAGTACATGAGCCGGGTTTCTGTGCTTCGACCGGGCGATGAACGCACCTCCCGGGTGTGTATCCACTTGTCCCATAGTTCCTGCAGTGGCTCTGATTCCTTCAGTTTCTTCAATCTGGCCACGTCTTCGGGTGTGGACATGGTTTCGGTGAGCTGGATGTGTAATTAGACATGGGCTAGTTCGGTGTGGGGCGGCACGAACTTGGGATGTCAAGGCCACCCTGTCGTCGATCCGGCGCTTGACGACACGAAGAAGGCGAGCACCATCCTTTTCAATCTGCTGTAGAGCAGTAGAAAAGCAACGCCGCCCAAGTGAAAATAGCATGCATGCAAGAAATAATCAACAGAGGCAAATAACGCGTCGCGTCATGACCGAGCTTGAAACGCGTTTTACCGAGCCCGTAAGTAAGTACAATATGTAGCGGATGTATACGATCAGTCAGATTCTCCTCCATTCGAGCTTGCGACATCGCTCTCAGCGTCATCATCGCCTGGTGCGGAAGTGAAGCCAGAAAGGGCAGTGGCACCACCCTGAGCCGTTTTCCAGGCATGTGCCATCTGCAAGAATTTGAAGGTGGTCGGATTGGATTCCCGCTCGTCGTCAGCAAACACCATGTCCCAGTCTGTCGTCGCGTCAGCTCTTAGTTGAGAATGCAACAGCAGATTGCACGCACCTTCGACCGTCTGCCCAGTCTCGGCGTCGACAACGCGCCGTTTACTGACAATTGGCATCATCTCTTGGACCTTCTTGACGTCGCTCTCACTGCCGTGCGTCTCTTCGAATGTCTTCCAGACCTCAAGCAGTGCCACACGCTGGGTTGTAAAACATGGTCAGTGCATTCGCTTTCAGCTTCTGAATGATACCGACCTCGCTCTTGAGTCCTTTGTCCTTCAGATCTTTGTACCCACGCTCGAACACCTGGCGTGCCAGAACCGGGTCTCCTTCCACCGTCTTGACCTCAGCCTCCTCATCGTCCTCCTCCTCCTCATCCCGCAAAGCACGTGCGATCGGAATAGGCTCCGCCTCAAACAAAGCGTAGGATATCCAAACTTTGACGTGACCACTGAGTTGAAGGAGACGTTCATACAAGTTCCGCGCAGCATCTCGTTCGCCCTCTTCAATTTCAAAATCGATGAATGCCTTCCATAACAGTTCGGGCATCGACAGCGGAGACTGAGAGACGCCCAGTTCGAATATGGATCGAGTCCGGGCAAAGTCTTGCAGTTGTGACTCCAATTCAGCAAACTTGATCCACGCGGGGGCGTTTGCCGAATCAAACTGTAACGCAGTTGAGCGAAATCAAGCCAGTTCGGAGGAACCCTTACCTCGAGGTATTTTTGGTACAAGGCGCGAGCACGATCGAATTCTCGTAGCTGAAAGAATGTAAGCTCGTCATCGTGAGGTCAGTCAAAGTACGGACCTCTATTTCAAGGTCAATATAACCCTTGAAGAGAGCTTCCTTCGGTGCCATTCCGATCGCTGCACCCAAGATTTTCCGTGCGGCAGGGAGGTCTAGCCTGCGCACTTCGAACTTGGCAAACATGAGCCACAGTTTCGCGAACGTGAACTGCTTGTGAGGCACAAGCTTGATCGCCGCGTTGTAAATCTGGCGGACCCGTGCAAAGTCCTGGAAGTCGCGTAAATCACCAAAGCAATAATGTTTGAATAGATCTCAGATACCTTGGTCTCAATTTCTTCAAAGAGAGCATAGTCAAGCCACAAGAATATGTATCTCCTCCAATGCCTTTTCTCATTCCCTGGAGGCACCTGGGCAACAGCGCGTTCGTATACTTCTCGCACACGTCCGATGGCGGCCTCTTCTTCTTCAGCAGTGGCGCCTTCCTCTTTCAGATCTCGGAGGGCGGTCTCTTCAAGACGAGCGTAGTCGAACCAAACATCGTAGTTTCTGCCATCTCGCGAAATCTCGTCCTCGTACTGAATTCTTCGCTTGCCCAAGACAGTGTTTTCGAGGGTCGTGCGAGTTCCGTGTTGCTTTTCAAACTTGCTATAAGAGGCGTAAAGCCCTGCCGATTTCGACCGCGAGATTCGAGATAACGCAAACTGTCCCTCAATTCAAAACAGAGGATCAGAAAAGGCGTGCAAGGACACACCTTATAGACCACCCTAGCCCGTTCAAACTCTTTCAACCGAGTTTCCATCTTGGCAAATGCACCAAAGACAGCCTGAGCCTTCTCAACCTGCTCCTCGTCGTCTCCGAAGAACTCAAGCGCAGTTTGGAATACCTCGCGAGCCTTGTCCAGCTTCCCCCTCTCTTCCTCGAACTTGCCCCACTTCACCCACACCCTCGGCTCTGGTCGAATCCCGACCCATCGTTCGAAGATCGCGCTCGCTCGGTCAAGCTCTTGGTAGCGTTCCTCCATTTTAATGTATGCCTGCCACGCCTTGTCATCCGGTTCCCACTGCATCCAGCGCTCGAACACCTGCCGGGCACCGGGCACGTTCTGCAGCAACTCCTCGAGGTAGACGTACTTGTACCAGAGCTGGTCGACCCGCGGGAGGAGCGTGACAGCGCGGTCGAATAGGTTACGCGCGTGCTGGACGTTGCGTGATTTCAACTCCATCTCCGTGTACGAAAGCCAGAGCTGGATGCTACGTGGGTCGACGTCCAGCGCACGTTCAAAAACAGATCGAGAACGCGCAAATTCATTTTGACTGGCCTGCGGGATAATGATGAGGTGGAGGAAGTGGTAAGACAGAATCACGGCGCGTACCTCCCAGTTCGCATACTGCAACCATTCCTTACTGAACACGGATCAGACGTTGTCCAAGTGAATGAGTAGAACACAAACATGCTTCCCCTTGTGCGCCGCACCCGCTCCTCGAACTCCTTTCGTTTCCTGCCCCGGTACTCATGAAGCTCCTCAAAATCCTCAACCCGCTGTCTCGGCGCACGAAAGGCGGATTCTTGTCGTTCTTGGGCCTAAATAGAGTACATCAGCCACAATGCATTATTCAATAACAAATAGCGCACCTCGCGAAGGAGTTGTTCGGCGGTGATCTACCACAAACAGTTCAATGTCCAAATCACCATTACCAGACTGCAAAGCGCACCTGAATCGCCGCCGGAGCGCGGTTTTTTATTCTGAAAATTAGTATGAGTTCGCCGGAAACGAAATAGGTGAAACACGTCTGAGCTTACCTCGGCGCGCGACCGTCCTGCATGGCGGCGGGGACGAATGATCGAGCTCGACACACGACCAAACACGTCTGGCAATCGCACGTGTTCCCACGCTCGGCTGTGCGATCCTCTCCCCAGGACTTTGTGCTCGCTCGACACTATTAGCTTGCGCTTCTCGTCTACGGACGCCGCTTCTCTCTTCCCGACCCCTCGCCCTCCTCTTCTTTTGCACAGTGCATCATTAACGATCCTCTCACGATAATTTCACGACTACGATTTCGTAACGACCGCTTTTTCTCGTCTTAATCTCCATGTACCATCCGGATCCCGCGTACGATGCCCGGCCATCTCAATTTCGCCGCCCCTGGTCTCCCGAGCCCTACGACCCACTACCTCGAAGCTCTGGTGGCCGCTCCAACCCACCCCACTCCGATCCATTCAGGAGGAGGGATTATGATTACGACGCATACGACCCGTACGATTTTCCTGCTCGGCGCAGGGAGCCCTCCGACGTCTCTGTGGAGGCCCTTGATCTGGCAGACTACCGCATGACGCTCCGGTCACTAGAGCATATGTCCCACGGCATGTATCCCCCCACACACCGGCCGCTTGCTGCGCGCATGCCGACGTCTATGTCTCGTGGCGATACATTATCATCTAACACACATACTAATTCCGGCGGGCGAAACACAACCCGAAGACCCTTCTCGCTTCCTCCGCCCTCCGTGCAATCGCACTCTACCCGGAACTCACACCCTGCGTCACCCCGCTCCGCTAACAATCACAATCACCCTTACCTCCAACCACCACGCAATTCATCCCCGGCTCTCGACACCGCACACTTTCCCGCTTGGTCGCGCAACTGGTATAACACTAACAACCCAGGCACCGCCGGCTCGAGATCGTCGATCCCAACACCGGTATCGCCACCTGACATGTACACCCCGCTGCCACATTCATCATGGGGGTCCAAACGAACGTTCGAGGAAGATGGTGTGGATCCATTCACGGACTCGAGCCGGGACTATCTTCCGTGGAGTTCAGAACCCCCCGAGTACGGGCCAATCGACCCGGCGCTCAAAGAAGAACGCATGCGCATGCTTGAGCGCGAGTTTGGGACGTCTTCGCGAAACCAGGACAGCTCAAAACCGACGGCAGCTAGCAATGGGGAGTTTTTGGACGCGGATGGGAAACCACTTGTGGGGACGGTGAATGCCAAGGGCCAGCTAGTGACCAAGGGCCCGAAGAAGCGCATCGCGTTGAGGGCGCTGCAGATTGTGCTGGCCGGAGTGGCTGCTGTACCGTCAATATATGCTGCAGCGGTACGTGTTGTGGCGCATGGCTACTCCATATCATGTACTGACATGCCCACAGCTAATCAAACCGACTCCGGCCGCTCCCCCAGCGGGGACCGCATCGGCTTATGTTTTGTACGCATTCTCTGCGATCTTCGTGCTGCTGCTTTTGTGGCTGTTTGCGTTTCGTCCATGCTGCTGTGCCGGCAAGCGGCGCAAACCGGCGGGACCTGCTGCAAACGGGATGATGGTGCTTCCTGTGACCACCCAGAACGGCAAGAAAGGCAGGAAGCCGAAAAAGGGCAAACACGGGAAACACGGTCCGCCCGCTGCCGGCGACGTTCAGGTGAACTTGATCGTCGACCCGAATGCCTTCGGCCGGCCTGATGATCTCGACGATGACTCGGACGACGAGTATGATGATGAGTTGGGGTCCGTTCCGGGTGGATACGATCCAGGCGCGGCTCGGCGAAAGCGGAGGAAGGCCCGACGACGGAGTGTGTTTGCGGGGCTGGCGATGGAAGAGGCGTGGAAGCATGCCCGTTCATGGGCCAAGACGATCACAGCGGTTGATTCTGTAGGATTTCTAGTGTGGGGCGCCGTGTTTGTGTTTGTGATGATTGGCAAGCGGTGCCCGAGCGGTGGATTCCAGGGCTGGTGCGTGTTGTTTCGTTCTCCATTCGCTGTTCATTCGTTCATAATATGTAGGTGCAACGCCTACAATGTGTCAACGGCGGCAGCGTGTTTGCTCTGGTTTTCGTTCGGGATCGCCATATTTTTCGACATTCAGGATCTGTCTGGCAGCAAACAGTCACCTCGGACACGCACATAGACGCTACTAATGAAACTCACGACCTTTCTCCCCATATATTCGTTAGTTATTGAATATCATATTGCATTACAGATAAAACGGGATGCCATAAACAACGGGGGCAGCACCGGTCAGATATTTGAGCTTGCAGACGTCCCGGGATTGGGCTACGGCAGCGACAACCGACACAGGATCGCTACGCTGCGGTCCTCCGAGCGCGAGTTTGTCGAACACCGCCTGCGAGAACAAGTCGATGTCACGGTCAGTCACGTCCCAAAGGTTGGCCACCAGGGAAGGGCTGCAGGATGCAAGATAAATAATGTAACAAGTCTGTGAAAGGGAATGACACGCACCAGCCAGCGACCATATAATTCCAGGGCGTGCCGATGCGCTCATAATCGCCGAGATCGCGCAAAAGACCGCTGGAGCAGCCCCAGAGCATCACCGCTGCGCAACGCGTCAAGTTCCGGATGCGATGTGCCCTGGCGTATTGCTCGCCGCCTCCGTGTCCAAAGTAAACAACGAGGTCGCTCGTACTCAGTGCCCTCAAAAACTCCATCTCGGACGGCGGACGGCCGACGATGGTCTCCCAGCCATTACGTGTCCTTTGCGACTCGGTCCAGGCGGAGAAACGCGCCTCGGTCTTGTGCAGGTCGCCGGAAGGATTGAGGACACAGACGCCCTTGCGCGGGTTGACGACTGCTCGGTCGACAACAGCGGCTGAGCCGGCGCCGTGTTTTTGCCAGCTCGCCAGCTTGATTCTATCTAGCAGAAAATCGAGATTGGGGATCCGGCTGACACTCCGCCCTCGCAGAATTGGTGTGCTTTCCCACGGTAAGCCCTGCAAATTCTTGTCGAGCACGAGAAACACGTGCTCGTCGTTGGTGGGAGGAACAGCGGCAGCGCCCCGCTGCCTGCGATGGTGCTCCTCTAGCACACTCCGAAGATCAACAACGACCTGATCAATGTCGACTTCTGCAACAGCAACTGGCATGCCATGCAACTGGTACAGATCCAGCACAAAGTAGACAAGATCCTCGAGCTCTTCGTCCCGGCACTTGGGCGACAGCGTTGCAAAACACGCGAGCAGATCGTCGTCCAGCTTTTGCGGTCCCACTTTGCTGTCCTGCAACCGCAGCGCACGCTGGAACACACGGTCAAATTGGACCCGCAGCTCAGCAATGGCAGGCGGAAGCAGATTTGAGCGTGGGGATAAGATCGTCTGGAACTCTTAAAAACGGAATACAAGGGAAATGCAAGTCACTTACTTTGAACGCACCCAGCCAACAGAATTCGATGTTCTCCACAAGCTCTTTCATCCGGCCATCAAGCCGACTGCGTTCTCTCCACCACTTTGCCCTGGCTTCGGGATCGTCTTTGTCGACATGCACGGCCCCTCTGGTGCCTTGATCGCTCAGCTTGACGATCTCCGCGAACTCCCGCACGGCATCGTCATATGTGAGATGCTGATCGGCACCGTCTCGACCTTGCAGTGGAATGCAAAACACCAACGGCGGCTGTGTCCCAGAGCCATACTGCCGCGACACAAACAACGTCCGGCGGTCGTCGGTCACCGTCATGTGCACAACTGTCCAGTTCGCCGGCACACCAGCCATCCGCGACGCAGACAGCGTCGAAACGTCTGGTGCCTGGCTCGTGTATCTGAGCTTGATGGATGACCAGTACTCGGACAGCAGTTGCGTGGATGCATCTTCATCGTCGTCGTCCTCCACAGCAGCAACTGTGACTGCTACCTCGTGAGCTGCAACCCACTCCAGATCATCTCTTCTGGCAGCGACTACCTTGTGCTCGATCGCCTCGACCATCTCGCGACCGAGAGCAATCGCACTCGCTCCATCCAGCAGCCCAGCCACCAGCACCGCATCGGCCCCATCAACAGCATTCCCATGCCCGAGCGACGTCTGCAGCGCGCGCACAGCAGCCAGACTCACACTCCCGTCACGCAATCGTGTCACATCACCGGTGCGTGCGAAAAGGGTGAGATCAAGCCAGAAGAGCTGTTCAGCCGATTCCAGAGTGCGCAGGATGTCGTGGGACGGCGGAGGAACACTCATGGGAAGTGCAATAGCTGTGAGTCGACCGATTAGTTCGTCATTCAGTGGCGCAACTGAAGCAACACTCACTCGACTCGGAGAGGAACATATCAGTCCTGAAACGGTCGTACACTTGATGCAATGTCAGCCGGCCTAAGAGTACGTTTTCCTGGGCATTGTTGCGCAAAGAAGCAGGCAGAGCGAGGAAGCGCTGGAGAAGAGCTGAATATGCAGTTGAGTTGTCGCGTAGCAGCCAGATGTGTTTCCGCAGAACATCCGCTACAAGATCGCCATCCACGCTTTGACCAAATTCCGCAGATTGCCGTGACCTGATCGAGTCGGGATAAGATAAGATAAGATAAGATAGAGCAAACAAGCTACTCACCTGTCCACTTCCAAAGCGCGGAACTGGCCGTCGACCTCGTCCAGGATCTGATAGGCCTGCTCATAGAGAGCACCAGCATCACTATCCCTGTCCTGTAGGCGACTGAGATCGCCCGCCAGACCTTTGAGTTCCGCTGCATCTCGGCCGATGCCATCCGGGGTAGCGAGCGCAAGACTGGCTTCAGCTTCAGTGATCTGGCGCATATGCATCTGGATTTCGCCCCTGCGAGTCACTGCACGCGAGGACAGCGTAATCGCGGCCAGACCTTCCGCCAACTCATGCGCCTGACTGGCAAAGTACTCAGCCTCCCGCGCCGAGCCCCTGGCGCTGTACATCTCACACAGCGAGAACAATGTCGCCAGAAGACCCTCAGAGACACGAAACTCGGTAATGCCTGTAATCTTCCGCGGTTTGGTCGCGGTGCTCGGGGTCGAAGCGGAGAAAGGATCATCGTCGGGAGTTGATGTCGGGGAGAGCCGTGCCAGGGTATCAACTGCGCGATTCCACAGCCTCAACGCACGTAGCATCGCCTCAGCATACATCAAGATGTCTTCTCGCGCGCGCTGAATCTGGCCAAACACGCTCGCTGCCACCGCCGCTCGTTCTAGCCGTCCAACTCGCACATAGACCCGCTCAACTGTCGTGGCTGCTGGCTTTTCCGTGCTTTCAGACATTTGTGCGCGCTCCATCGCCTCTGTATAGATTTGCACGCTACCAGTCGGTCAGTTACCATAAGGATGCGTCAACAGGGCGCGCACCTCCTAGCAACATCGTTCGCTAAAACCAGGGCCTCCGCATAACGCAAACACACCAACACACACAGCTCCTCAGGCACCCCTCCAAGCGACCCGTATGCTTGCGCAAACAGCCCCGTCGCCCGTCGCGTTTTGCCGAGTCGCCCGTACTCGATCCCCAGCTCCATGCACGCGATCACGTGTCCCTCCTGAGTCGCGTCCGAGTCCTGTGACAGCCGTCGCGTGATGTCCAACACCCTCACCTTGAGCAACACATGTCGTTGAAGACTCAGCACCCGGGCAACAAGATCTGGTGATTTTTGAGGTTACAAGACAGAGTAGCAGCTTGATGTTCACATACGCAGTAACTCGAGCAACTGTGCAGGTGTTTCCACTTTCGGTGTCTGCACTTTGGATGACTGTGCCTTGGATGACTGCGCTTTTGCTGTCCTACGCAGAGGTTTTGAGGCGACGGTTTTCTTCGGAGCGTTCGTACCCTCCAGAACCCGACACGCAATCTCAACATGAGCCGTCATTGATTCCGCTTGCTTATGGGCATCGAGGGCAGCCCAAAGATGAGCCGAGGCGCGCGTGTGCAAGCGGGTGGGATCATCGGCGCACAAGAGTTCGACCTCGTCCGCGGCGCCATCAACGACGCTGAGCCCTGTGTAATACCCAAACTCTAGACACGCGACCAGGACACCAGCACGGTCCTTGCTGACATCCAGCAGCGCACGCAGCAGAGTCTGCATGACGCGCTGCACGCCTTCTTTCCATCGGCTAGCCGCCAGCGACGCCAGTTGTCGCTCAAGCAGCAGGGGCTGATCTGTCACCAGGACCACCTGGCCAGGATCCAGGAACAATTCGCACGCGCCCAGGTACGTCGTCCGGTCAACGATGGTGCCCAGCTGCACCGTTGCAGGTGAGCACTCGAACCACTTTGGGCATACCGGATACAGGTCGTATGGGAATGCTTTGATGCATTCAACAAAGCTCGCGTGCGCTGACTAGACCAGTTCAGCTGACATTCACGAATTGATTGAGAACAAACGATACCCGGCGGTTCCCCAATTTAGAGAAGCAGACCCCTAACAATTCCCAACGCCTCCAGAGCTGCTCGTCTAGCTGTTTCCACCCATCGGCATTCTTGTCGTCTTTGGTTTGTTCCTGGCGGCGCAGCTCCCGTGCGTTGCCACCCAGCTTACAGCCGTCCTCCAAGAACGGGATCGCCGCTCCATACTTGGTCGCGTTGTACAGCGTCCCTGCTAGGTTGTGGAATGCGCCAGAAACACATCGCGCATAATTTGCTTTCCGTTCCGTTGTCAAGTCCAGCGCTGCCACCGCACGTGTCAGAGTCGCGTGGGCCTTTGGAGGCGATCCAGCGAGAGTCCATCGCGACACGGAGAAGATCGTGTCGAGTAGCGAGGTCAGTGTGTCGTTGGTCGCATTCTGATGATGTCAGTTCGGTTCTTCTCCTCAGAAACAAACACACCTGCTGCACCAAACACTCGAGCACGTCCATCACCTTCTCGACAAATCCAGCGCCACCGTTTCCCTCATCAACCGATGTTATCACGCTCCGTCTTGCTTTCTCCATCGCTCGATACATTTTACCGCGGAGATCAGGGTTTGACAACACAAGCGTGACGCCAGCCCAATCTACAGCATCCATTAGGTCTGTCTCCTTTGCAGCAGCGATCTGTGCAAACAAAGTGCAACTCTGTGTGCACTGCACCGAAAGGTCCACCGTGTCTGTAGATGGCTTCCCCACAACATTTGCGACTTGGCCCAGGGCGGATATATTCCTGGTCTACTCGGTTATAATTAGCGATCGGTATTCCAATCAGACAGAACTCATTCACTCGATTCGCACAGTTCGTCCAGCACTCACAAAATGCAGCAAACGCCTTCCCACTCATGAAAGCCTCCGCGTCTGGCCTCTGCTGTGCTCGGCCCACCAAATCATCGAACGCTTCGAGCACCGTAGTCGTCACTGCATCCACCTCGGTCGCCGCCGTAGCTTTGATGAGCGCCCCAGCCGCCTTGGTTGCTTGGTCCCAGAACGCCCGGGGCTCGACCTTCCCCGACTCCGTGTGCGCCAGACACCCCAGCCCATACCTCCGTAGTGCAAACGCCTGAATCGGTGTGATCCCTGGCGTGGCCGCCAGCCGCACGACGCAGCTATACGCGCGTGTTAGTGTCGCGTCGATGTGTTGTGGTGGGATCAGGCGCGCCCACGTGAGCAGCGTGATCGAAGACGACAACGTGAGACAGCCCACGAACGAGGTCAAGGGAACCTTTGAAGGTGTCTGGGACGAGAGGACAGTCAGTGTGTGAAGTAGAAATGTAGTTGTGAGGGTGAGCAGGGTTGGCGTAGGAGTAGTGGCTTCGTCGGGTAATGATATACTGAGTAGATCGAGCTGCGTGGAATTAGTTGACAATGGAGCTAAGCCAAGTAGCCGACACAGTCTTGGATGCATCGCGCGCAATGCGAGAAGGGCGGCGTCGTACTGCATGTCATTGAGTAAATAATGAGTGGCAATAACAGATACACACCATCTCCAAAGCAACAAGTTTCCCTGAGAGGCTTCCCGCTGCGCGCTCGACGTCCAACATCGCATCAGCGTCAGAAAGTTCGCGCAGGGTTGCAAGATGTCGTGCCACATCCGCTGCACTTGCTGCCGCAGACTTCTTCTGCGCGGCACCCCCCGCATCGGAGGTGTATTTCCATCCAGACTGCACCAGGACAGAGAGGCTCTGTGAGGCTTGATTCACAGCGCGCATCGCGCCCAGACGTCTATCTTCGGGCGTTTCCGTCGCTTTCTCCTTCCCTTTGCCCTTCCCCTCCTTCTTGACCACCACAGCCTCTTTGCTACAGGCTGCCTCATTCTCCTTCTCCTTCTTAGCTGCCGGAGTAGTCCTTCTCGCGGTGGTGGTGGGTTTCTTTGCCATCGCCGTCGCGTCAGTACCCCCCACCTTGGCACGCGTACCAACAGGTGGTTCCTTCTCCTTCCCTTTTGGCCTAGCCTGAGCCTTTGTGAGTGATAATGCAGCCATCCTGGTGGCTAGATGATCCGTCGAGGAAGCTGTCGCGCGCGGCAGCGCGGTGCGACGCGTGGTGGTCGCCATTGCTGAAAGAGCGGGAACGCGTCAGGTGATCGGTCAACCAGACCTCAATCACCGTCACGATCACGGCCGCACCGCATCCTGATATCCTTGACCCACATTGACCTCAAATCTAAACTCGATACTCGACGCGTTTGGGATGCCCGCCTCTGCTGCCCCCATGATCCCCAGCATTCCCGGCGAGCGAATACCGCACTCGAGTGATCAGCTAGCGTGGCTTCGCGACTCCGTTGGACGCATATGCGGTGTTGATTCAAAGAGGTGGATATCTGCCATGTTACATCTAGATTCCACTTACTCACTTCCAGGTTTCCCGGGAGTCAGCCGGTCAGCTTTTCGCAGGCGGATCTCGCGAAGCTAGAGAACCAGGAGTGAGTGCCGGCTTGCTGAATGTCACCTGGTGTTGCTGATTGACGTGGTCCTTTCGTTCTTGTCGTGCCCTTCCAGCTTCTTCGTGTGCGAAAAGTCGGACGGCGTCCGTGTCCTCCTCGTAGTGCTTACGGATCCCAGTGGAAGTCAGTTCGTCCATCTCGTGCGTCGCCACCTTCGTTACGAGTCCACTCGAATGCACATGCACCTTGATTAGGTTGATCGGAAGAACGACTACTACGATGTGCGCGGAATTTACTTCCCGCACCACGAGAACCCCACGAAGCCTCTGCAAAATACGATAGTCGACGGGGAGCTTGTATACGATGTTGATCCCACCACCCGTGCCGTGAGCAACGAACTTGCGAAGAGAACTTTCGGATTGACTGAAGCGGGGCACAGCAAACATTACGCTTTCTTGCCTTCGATTGCCTGGTAGTCAACGACCAGAACATAATGTCACGCCCACTCGATAAACGTTATGGGGTAAGTTTAGCAGTTAATATGCAACCTGACCGACCACCTTCCAGAGACTAAAAGAGTGGTTCTATAAACCGTTCGCACGCATGAAAGTCGATCACCCGCAAGTCGCTCAGTCGCATCTGTTCGAGTAGGTTCGTTGACTCCCCGCTACCTTTCTTTGGCTCATGATTTTCTCCATATAGTATCCGCGTGAAGGACGTCAAATCATCGTACAACGCGGAGCAAGTGTTCATGGAAATGCCCCACCTCCAGCACGGCAGCGACGGACTCATCTATACGTGTGTCAACGCGCGGTACTCGCCAGGGACAGATCCTAACATGTGTGTACGGCTGTCAAGCCGCCTTCTGAACTCATCCTTGCGGCAGTCTCAAATGGAAGCCCCCGTCAGAAAACTCGATCGACTTCAAGTTGGTGTTGCGCTTCCCACCGTTGGCCAACGACCCGACGCAACCTGACTTCCACGCGAAGCCAGTGTTTGTGCTCAACATGTGGGGTGGGGACGAGCGCTACGAACAGTACGATGTGATGTATGTCGAAGATAGCGAATGGGAGAGGTGCTTCCAATCCCCACTCTCCTTGACCATGCTCATCCAATCGTCAACGTAGCATGAAAGCCTCAGGCGACCAATACGACGACCGGATTGTTGAGGTTCATTGGGACCCATCCAAGAATCACTGGCGGTTCATGCGGTTCCGCGATGACAAGTTGCATGGAAATCACCGTTCAGTCGTGGAGAGTATAGTCTCCAGTATTGCCGATGGCGTTGAACGAGAAACAGTGCGTGTGATACCCCGTTAGATCATCACGCAGATGAGACACTCATTTATCTCTTGTCAGCTGCTAAGCCGATCGACAGCTATACGAAATGCCTGGAAAGTGCGGATGGGAAACCCTCAGCCCGCGGTTATGTCGGCCCCTCAATCTGTCGTGGAATTTAAGTTTGGACCGCTCGGGACGTCTCAGTGGAGCAAAGTGTCGGGGCCATTGGTAATAGCAGGAATGAAGCGATGACATTGGCTGTTTCATCTTGTCTGCAAACATTTGTGGTGATAACAAGCGGTCATGTGTTGTCGGTCGTACATACAGTAGGTAGGTACAAGACAAATCGTAGCAAAGTCGTGGTAATGGATCGTGATCGAGATAACGAAAGCATTTTGACCAAAGGGAGAATGAACAGAGGAGTGCATGTCTAGTTGTACAATGGCAGATGTTGGTTGTTGTTTTCTCGGTTCAAAATCGATAGCAAACGATAAATAAAGTGGTAAATGGGACGTGCGTTGGGTCCAATGGGTGTGAAGGACATGAATAGAACCCCGGGCGCATAAAACACCCGCGAGGCCGTCATAAAGTCGTGTCGTCGTGGAACGATGCGAGATGTGTATGCAAGAAATAGAGTGTAGGAATGGTGTGAATGCAAATGGATATTCGTGAAGGGGAATGACGGCTGGCGTGAAGGCATACATTTTCGAAGACGCGTTTTAGGCTCGTGGATGCTGCCAGAATTTCTGACAGAGTTGTGTGGAAGGTGCACCGATCAGTCCGAAAGGAACGCGGATGACGAGAGCGGCGACAACGCAAAGTCGGCGTAGCGCTCGCACGAGGTGGCCAGATCAACCAGAGATAGCGTGCGTAGGTTCGCGAGCAATGCAGGACGCGCGCGCCCCAGGGTTGGCGACGGTGGGGCCAGCGCGTCGGGCGAAGTCAGTCCAAACGCGTCTAGGAACGGCTGCTCTATCTGAGCGTCCGAACTGTCGGGTGTCGACTCGAGGGAAGACGTCGAAGACTCGAGCGCATGCCGCCGAGGGGTTGTTGGCGCGATAGCGAGCGCAGCCATCTCCGCGACTGGCGCCTGGACATTCATGAGCTCGACTGGTGGTCGGCGACAGAGAAAGCGATACGTACTTCCGACGAACCCAACCCAAAAGAGATCCACAGATCATGCGTGTCCAGATGCTCAACACCAAGATCAACGCCGGCCGGGGTGACGGCCGGGATGTTGTCTTGTTCGGAGCCGTCGGCGTCTTCCTCCTCCTCCTGCTCTTGCTCAGGGAGCATAGGCTCCGTTTGACCTTGAGTGACGCTCCACCAGTCCAAATCAGCGAGAACCCGTCTGATGTTGGTTTCTGAGCCCGAGGAACGACGATGACCACCGCTGCCCTGGGAGCGCGTCCCAGAGGAAGAGTACGGGGTGCTGCGAACCACAGGCGAAGAAAGGGAGCGGCGAAGAGAAGGCATACCGGGGACGGGGACCGACGACGACGAAAGCAACCGCCTGGCGCAGCGCTGGAAGTGGGTGAGAGATGATTTGGAGGACACCTTGGCTTTATACTTGATCAATCTAAAAAAATGTGATGATTGTGAAGGGTCCGAAACTTAAGACCGAGGAGTGACTACGCTCAAGGGCTTCCAAGTCTTCTTGCCGCTCTTCGCGTCTGCGGGTTGCCCCTGGTGTTCCCTGAAATATAGTTGTGTATTCAATCCTTGTCTCCTGAGCGGAGATTGTCTTGCAGCAGCTCGCGGCTTTTCACGCAGCCCGATTGATGCAGACACCGGCAACAATTTGGCCATAGGAAACGACCGAAGCAGATGATTATTTGGAATGGAACTGGAGGCACGTCGGATCTGCGGCAAATCCGGACCTGCCTAGCTCATTGCTCCCGAGTGCGACGCGCGCCGTGCTTTTGAGCGCGAGCAAAAGATGGAAGTGCATGCGGGTCGAGCTAGGTGGCTAGCGCACACGTAAGAACGCGTAAGAACGCGTCTAATTCACGCGAACAAGACGAAACACGGTGGATCACGCTGACGCGCTCCATGACGTAAATCTGTCCATCTCTGATGCTCCTTTCCCCCGTGTGCAGACGTCCCAAATCATACCACCACATTCTCGCGTCGGCCATTCACCCTGCCGCTCGTCAGACACGCCGTTTCGCGCCGAGTGATGCTGATGCCTGGAGACTCGCGCACTGCGGTAGAAAGACGGCGCCAGATACTATATCATCAGGAACATCATCACGGTCGCTTTTGAACCTTCAACATCGCCTTCATAATCGCCTACTCGGGAAGCATCTTTTGTGGATGCGTGTGATAGAGGCAACCCCCGCGTGGGGTCGGCGCCCGAAGCTAACATGTGCATAGCAACCTAAGGCTAGATGGCCGCTCAAAACGCGGAGAACCTGTCTCAGGAACTTATAAATCCGCGCCTCTTGGAATCTAGGTTCTCGTGTATCCTCTCAATCATGGTTAATGATACCCACCCACTCCCTCTCCCGGGGCTCCATCCATTCCTCATTCCATTCTGGTTAACAACTTGCATGAGAAACAATTTGTATCCGGCCTTTTTTTGAGGATGTTCTTCCGGTCCCACTAAACGAGCCATACGTCTGAGTCCGCCGGAGGAATGGTGGCCGAGGCACCCAGAGAGTTTTCGGAATTCAACACTCACAGCGCCAATCCGGATGGGAGCGGCGCTGGGTTGTCCAAGAGTGCAATTGGTGGACATGATGTGACTGATCACACCCAGAAGATCTCACGTGGGTTTGAGAAATTCAAACGGCAACCACTAGAAACCCTTGCATCAACTTCAAGCCCAGCCTCTATAGTAGGTCGCTCTGAATACTTGGAGGAGACTCGGCTAAAAATACTAGAGAGCTCGCGAGCCTAAGCACCCGACTTGGAAAGATGACAAATTTCGATTCGGGCTGATATCTTCGACCGGTGCTCTCTAAGCTGGATTTAGGCTGCTTGACCGAGTCCTTTTTACGAAGCGGAGTCGGACAACGTCCTTGATTCGTCAGATTGCAGTCTAATCTTGCGAGGATCTTTCGAAGACCACCGCGAGAGTATGCTGCTCGGTGCAAGAGTCGTAAGTCCTGGATATTACATTACTTGGGTTTGCATTTGAACCTGCTACCGAGTGGCTTCCGCTCAGCACGTGCTCCACCAATGTGCTTAATTTTATGCTGCACCTTCCAAGCCGACCCAATCGAGCATAATATCGGTCAGAGTCGGAGGAGCACCGATTATTATCGTATCTCTCCGGGTAACTGCACTGTTTCGCGGAGAGGCAGGGCGTCCCGAATCCGTCCGAGCTCCCGATAACTAGTGCCTCAGATGTGACAATCATCTACAATATAAAACAGGCAGTAGCGCCTGCTCACCCCAATCATTGCACTCACTCAACATGGGGGAGCCCAAGGGTAAATCGGTCGGAGACTTTGCAAGTCAGTTCTCCTTGCGATTATTGCATCTGAATTGACTGACGACTCGGTAGCTGACTTCATGCTGGGCGGTGTCGCTGCTGTGGGTTCTGTCCCTTGACCCTCAATCTGAATACCAACTGCTTTGCAGGCCATATCCAAGACGGGGGCAGCACCCATCGAACGAGTCAAGTTGATGATCCAAAATCAAGGTGAACTCATCAAGCAAGGCCGACTTGCGACACCTTACAAAGGTAGGATCAGCACTCTGTGTTTCGTGCCTTGACCAGCTACAGGCATCGGGGATGCCTTTATGCGAACGTACAAGGACGAAGGTCTGGTCGCTCTCTGGCGAGGCAATGGCACCAATGTCCTCCGTTACTTTCCAACGCAGGCACTCAACTTTGCGTTCAGTACGTCGATCACAATGCAGCGGGCCGGAAATCTTATTGCGTAGAGGACTACTTCAAGGCATTGTTTGGGTTCAAGAAGTCGGAAGGCTATTGGGTACCACATCCCCCATCCGTTTGCCTGCGACTGAAATCTTGCCAGACTTGGTTTGCCGGAAACATGGCCTCGGGAGCTGGAGCCGGCGCAGCCTCGTCCCTTTTCGTCTATTCTCTCGATTATGCGCGAACACGTCTGAGCAGTGACGCCAAGTCCACCAAGCCTGGAGGCACCCGCCAATTCAACGGTCTGCTCGATGTCTACAAGCAGACCCTCGCCACCGATGGCGTTCGCGGATTGTATCGTGGGTTTGGCCCCTCGATCGTCGGGATCATGGTCTACCGGGGGACTTATTTCGGATTCTACGATTCACTGAGTATGCTTCCCTTCGTTCATTCGCTCGTCCAGACTCGCATGAATCATGATCAGAGCCGACTGTGTTGGTGGGACCTTTGGAGGGTTCCTTCCTTGCGTCCTTCGCTCTGGGCTGGGTCGTCACGACTGTTGCCGGCATTGCGGTACGCGTTTCATCCAAAGATCCATTGCCCAGATCTGAAAAGCAGCGTAGGCTTATCCGATGGACACGGTGCGACGCAGGATGATGATGACCTCCGGAACTGGCGTCCACTACAAATCGACGTTGGATGCGGCTCGCCAGGTACGTTTATCTGCTAAAAACCGAGTCGCAGCGGTTGACCGTCTGCAATTTAGATCATGGTAGGTGAAGGTCCCAAAGCTCTCTTCAAAGGCGCAGGTGCAAACATCCTGCGTGGAGTTGCCAGTGCTGGTGTCCTCGCTATCTACGACAAATTCCAGGCTCTCATGTTCAACGGAAAAGTCTACTCTGGGGGTAAGCACTCTCATACCTTACAAAACTTGTTCATAGACCCTTGGAAGGTTCCGGTTGAGAGGAACAAGAAATGTGGAACATTTGGCACATTCATATATCATAGCATACTTACAGTACACAGTATCAGAAATCACAAATGGCAATTGTTTCTCACGGTCGTTGATTTTCCTCTCTTCCCTTGACGTGCCTATAGAGCGCGTTCGCCATCCATATGCTTCGACTCTGTGCGCAGCAGAGTACGCGTGCACGTCCTTTCCGTTTCATTATGACTCAAAGTGGCCTACTACAGCATGTAAACACACCGGGGCAAGCTCGTCCGCGCTGTTCCACACCTCGGCGGCAATATACGCAGCGTCCCCCGCTCGACTCCGCTCTCGCGCTCTCAAGCGGAAGCAAAGCATAGAAGAGAAGGCCCGGCGCGAACGGTACCTCGAGGAAACGCGGCCCAGTCCCATTCTCGGCACCCGGCCAAACGACTTGGATAAATGGCAGCAGTGCAAATTGGCGCAGACCCTTGTCGACGAATCCTGGCTCACTCAGCCATTCGACCCGGAACGTGTTCTCTCTGCGCAGGCCGCTCGTTTCGGCGCTTTAGCGGACGCCGACGCACCAGAGAGCGCTGGCGTAGTGAAGACCAACGGTGACGCGAAGAGCGCGAGCGAAACAAAGAGCCCCGTTGGCAAGAAAGAGAGCCAGACAGACAAGCAGGAGAATGGGCAAGATAAGGAGAAGCAGGCTCCGTTCGTCTTGTACCGAGCGTTTGGAATTGGGCCTGCGGAGGAGAAATTGCTATTCCGCGACCTTCCTAAATTCATTGATGCGTCCAAGGAGGTTGAGATGAGGGCAACGCCTCCATCGACGGCGACGGCGACTGCTGGAGGCACTGAGGTTCCCACTGCGGTCCTGGAAAGCCCGTATAAACTGGAGAAGGCCCTTGAAGTTGCCGCAAAGAAGCAGGCTATCATCACGGCCAACTTTGAACGGCTCACTGACCTCAGGAACTCTGACGCTGCGGGAATAGCGTACGAGAATCGCCGGAGGATCATCTTGGCCTTTTCTACGCCGCAAAATCCCTTCGACCCTGGCCGCACCGAAGTACAAAGTATGGACGGACTTTTTCTCCATGTCTATTGTGCACTGACAGTTTGTCTAGTTGCGATACTGACCTATCGGATCCGAAAACTGTTCGACCACTTGGCCAGATGCAAGCATGACGTGCAGAACAAGCTTTCGCTGCGGAAGGTTGTGCACCAGCGAGCGAAGTTGCTCCGTTATCTCAAGCGGACGCAGCGGATCCGCTACGACGAGCTGTTGGAGCAGATCGGTCTTGAACCGGAGTCTGCGGAGGGCGAACTTGCCGTCGAATAGTTAGTTCTCTGCACGCGTTGAATAGCATCCTGGTGTTTTCACACTACACGTCAAACCCTCCATCGGAATCTGTCGAAGTGCCAGGTGACCGTGCGGCGGCGTGATGCTAGCTTGTATCTCCCTATGTACTTACTACCCTTGTGTCGATGTCCGCGTCGATCCATCCATCCCTACTATCGCCTCCATGGTGGTCTATGATTCCCCTTTTGGAAGCAGCCAAGGTTATCAGCAGTCCGATATGCGCGTCTGAAGCCGACATGCCAACCCCTGGCTCCGCTTGTCACTTACCACCACCATGTCGCTGCGGCCGATCGTGTACTACGGCTCCGTGATAAATCCGGTCTCCTTGACGTTATTCAAGGCCCTGCCTGCTTGTCTCCTGGCTGTGGGCGGAGATGGAAATATCGCATGGGTCGACGAGGACGTTCCGGCTTCTGGGATCCAAGAGGTTCTGGCCGCTCACGGCTTTGAGGACGTCGAGGTCGTTTGTTTGCGGGACGGGGAGTTTATTATGCCTGGATTCGTCGACACTCATACACATGGTCCGCAAGTCCCTAATATGGGCAGGTAAGTGTCCTTTCTTAAGCTCCCGATGACTAGTTCTGATGATAGCATGTGCATAGTGGGCAACAGTATGAGTTGCTGGTTCGTCGTCCTCTTGTCTTAGTGGCTACATACCACCGCTCATCAATGAGGGCAGGAATGGCTAGAAAAGATCACGTCAGTCCACCATGCCCGCCCGATGGGTACCCCTTGTACTAGAACTCGCATGCAGATTCCCCATGGAATCGAGATTTTCTGATCCCGCGTTCGCCCATGCGACGTATTCGTCCGTTGTTCGCCGAATGATTGATGCGGGAGTGAGCAATACCTCAACGGCAACTTGCGATCGGTTCATGGATTACACTAGACAACGACCTGCTGCTACTACGGAACTCTCCATGTGGAGGGGACCAAAATCCTAGCGGATATTGTACATCGCCAGGGTGAGAACTGCTGTCGGATCCTCCTTTCTGCATCGAGCTAATGGACATTCAGGACAACGAGCTTTTGTCGGGGTGATTGCGGCTGCCCCTTCTATTCGATTCAATCGCAAGGCTCATTGGTTTCTCAGAAATGCAACATGGATCGCCACGCTCCTTCGCATTATGTCGAGGACTCGGCCGAAGCGTCCATTGTGGCTACCAAGAGCCTCGTGTCCCACATAGATAAACTCGGATCGCCGGACACGCGCCTTGTGCATCCCATCCTGACCCCGCGCTTTGCGATCACATGCTCAGACGACTTGCTAGCGTCCCTGGGCGAGATGGCTGCGGCTGATCCGACGCTCCGGATCCAGACGCACGTCTCAGAGAACCCAGCGGAGGTGGTCTTTGCCAAGGCGCTCTTCCCGGAGCGCCCGTCGTACACCCATGTGTACGATCACTTTGGGCTGTTGCGGAACAACACCATTTTAGCGCATGCGATTCATCTCGAGGACGAGGAGATCCACCTCATCGCCGAGAAGCACGCTGGGATCAGCCACTGCCCGACGAGCAACTTTAATCTGAACAGTGGGATTGCGCCGGTGGGCGTCTATCTGGATCATGGGATCAAAGTATGTCGCACTGTGTGCCACACAGCTGATGTCTGCTGATGTCGACGCAGGTGGGACTTGGCACAGACGTGTCTGGTGGATACTCGCCGTCGATCTTGAATGCGATCCAGAACTGCAGCATTGCTTCCAAGGTGCTTGCGATGCAATCACGGGCAGATCCGGGCGAAGAAGGCTTCACAAACAAGCAGCTTTCAGTGGCCACGTTACTGTATCTAGCAACCGAAGGAGGGGCCCGTGTCTGTAGTCTCGACAACATCGGGACCCTGGACGCGGGCAAGAGCTTTGATGCGCTGATCGTCAATGTGGGTGCGAGCGCAACAAACCCAGCGATTTGGTCCTCTCCGAATTCGCTGCCAGCCAAGCTGGAGCAGTTCTTCTTCTGCGGAGACGACAGGAATATTGCCCGGGTTTATATCCAAGGTAGATTAATAGGTGGAACTTCATTTACATCATAAGCCTGCTTCAATGAGATCTTCACCGTCTCCTGGTCCAAACTCTCCGAAATCCCATTTGAAACAGTCCTGAGAACGATGAGCATCTGGAAACAGATGTGACTGAAGTGCATACTACGCAATCTGTATCTGCCTTGGCTTGAGGGACACTCCGGCCAGGCTCCCATTCAATGTCATTTCCCTCGAGGACCTCTGTGATAACGCGCTTTATCACGTGTGTCCTGAGATCTACTTTCCAGCCCAGCTTGTCGACGACGTCGAAGACGACATTCTTGCCGAGATGGCATCGCGTCTCGAGAGCAAAGCCGCCCTGAGCGCACAGAGAAGCGACGCCTGTGCAAGTGCCCTGAGGAATCGGGTCCGCGTTATGATATACATGCGTGATGGCGGGGAGGAAGCTGTCCAGTGGAGGCTTGGGCAGAGGCAAATGCAGTCTCTGCGCAGCCAGTCGCTCGCCCGGGGCTTCGAACGCCACAGCCGGCAGTCCGAAGGTAGTGCCAAGCAGGGCAGCCAACGCTCCACCTGTCAACGTTGAGCAAACGGCTACAGAACCAATCAACTCGGCCACAGACCTAGGCTGTGACCGACCAGCCACAAATCGGCTGTTGGATACAGGAAGAGGAGATCATTCACAAGCCGCTAGATTCCATCGGTATCAGTCGCTTCCAGACGCAACTGAGCATGGCTTGACTTACCACACCAACCGAATAGAACAAGCTCTCCTCGACGAGTGCTTTCGTCAGACTGGAGAGTATCAGCCGTGTTGTACAGTAGCACAACTAGCGTACACACCAGGTATTATCACAGCGGAACGATTTCCTGTAGCAATCGCACACCTAAGCAAGCGTCGGGCATGCACTGAGTATGCCACGATGACACTGCTCAGACCCTTACCTTCCGGAACACCCAACTTATGTCAACTCGCGCACAACAGCAGGAGAAGAGCAGATTGTCGTTGAATTTATCCTGCTTCGAAGTCGGCCCGTTGAGTGTCGTGCCTTTGATAGAAAGGACAACGGTTGAGTTGTCCGACGAGATGAATACATGGCCCCGGAACCCATTCTCTGGATCCTCCCAACCGAAGGGAAAGCTCTGTCTCCGAGTAAGCATACAGAAGCATCCACCTAGAGGCTTGAAGAAGGAAAGACGCACAGTGTTCCAGGCCTCATCGACGGTGTACCAGTTACTCTTCCCTGGCGTTGCGTAGGCATTGGCGCTCATACGCGCGAGCTGAGCCAGCGTGCCTCTATCCTCTACGTCGGGACCCGATACCTCTATTCTATCCCATTCGATGGGTTCTGTCTGCTCTAGGTGGATCGATCGCCATCTCGAGCGGTGGAAGTGATCCATGGACCGAGGGCGATGGACGGCTGTGGGTCGCGCCTTCAGCGAGCCCAATGGCGTCGGAGCCCGGGAGTTCAATGCAAAGATAGGTGGGCATGAGAACAGCACGAGGTGAAGGATGAGGAGGACTCCATTCATTTGCGTAGCTTCGACGAGAGTGCGGGACAACTTAGAGCAATTAGCACCGTGACTGGCCGTCCCTTATCAGGACTAATTTCCGGGCCGGATGTTCCGAAAGCAATCTCTCACCGTGCCATGAAGTACGTTTGGCTCGACGTAGATCCTGTCCGTCCCGCAGTCCTCGTCTCTTCTCAATCAACTTACCCACGAAAATAGGGCCACGATGATGCCACCGCGATCCTCCTAGCCCTCCACGCGCCCAATATCACGCCCTTGGGGATCTCGACGGTATAGCAGGATTGCCATCATCAAGCCGTCGACGCGGAAGTAACCTCAGTCAGACCCATGGAAATGCGAGCAGCGACTGGACGATGCTCAACGCAGCGAGATGTCTACACGCGTTCGGTGCGGCCGCGGTGTATCCGGATATGCGCGTCTACCCCGGGGCGACCAAGCCTCTCCTGCGCCCCGCGAAGCACGACCCAGAAATCCACGGTGTCGACGGTCTCGGGGGTGTCGTGGGTCTGCCAGATCCAGCCAGTGCTGAGGTCCAGCAGTGGATTGCACGGGATGCCGAGGGGGCGGTGGTGAGAGCCCTCGAGGGGATGTCACACCATGTGAAACGGACGTGGAATAATGGGATGGGGTCCAAGGTCACTATCATCTCCAGCGGTCCGATGACCAACATCGCGTTGTTCGCGTCGGTGTATCCAGATCTGTTGATCGCTGTGGAAGAGTTCGTGTGTACGTGCAGATTCGTTTGCTTTGCCGGACTTGCCAGTGAAACTTTCCAGTCATGGGGGGTGGAGTTGGCTTGGGCAATCGGTCGGCTGTTGCTGGTGCGTGTCATGGATCGGTTAGCGATGAGAGGCTCATGACAACAACATTTGCAGAGTACAATATATTATGCGACCGTGAGTGGCTCATTCCAGAACAAGATCGCGCGCGGTGCATAATATGGATTGCAGCTCATGCAGCTCAAATCGTTCTGGATACTCCTGTGAGGAAGGCCATGATTCCCATCAACGTAACACACACCGCCATCGTCACACATAGCGTTCATACGCGTCTTCTGTCGCCGTCGTCGCCGGACCCTCGTGACTTGAGTGTGCCTCTCCCCGCACCGACAACGAGCCTGCGGCACACGCTGTCAACACTGATTGGATTCTTCGCCGAGTCGTACAAGAGCACATTCGGTTTTAACGACGGTCCTCCTCTGCATGACGCACTGACAATCGCCTATGTCTCGCAGCCAGAACTTTTCACTGGCACGCGGTATCGAGTCGATGTCGAACTGGCCGCAACATTCACATCCGGTGAAACTGTTGTGGATGTCTGGAATTACCAAGGTTTTGGAGAGGACACATGGGGAGTCGGGGGAAAGAACTGTCTTGTCACCCAGTCTCTCAATGTAGGCAACGATGTCTCCCACCATCCATCCGGTTCTAAACCATTCCAGGTCTCTGCCTTCTTTGAACTGTTCCATCAATGTCTGTTGACCTGTGACCAAGTTTCGCCACTCAACCATTGAGAATCTGTAATCATCATCTCCTTCCATTTGTCTATGTAAATTTCTTTGCTGTTAGACCGCCAGTGCTCATCCCAAGATCGCCACAGCAACAAAGATCGAAAACACGCCGACCACTGTTGCAGTCCATATCATGGTACTCGTCCTTGATGGTGGAGGAGTCAGCTCCCCAATGCATATTACGGAACACCGCACCAAATTCACTCCCTCTCGAACCGGATCTCTGCATAGTCCGGATATAAATTCAGCGATCGATCTCAGTAACCTGCTGTGCTCGTCTTGCGATTGTGATTTACCCAGTGTATATGGGTCAATACCAGAGAGACAACTGAGGATTAAAAGTCCATTGATTGCTATTACAGGTGCTTAGTTATACAGTCCAGACTGAAGGCATAGCTCATGATTGTGCTTCCGGTGTTCGAGACTTCGAGACGACGGTTCGCTTCAAGGTAACTCATGATCTAATCTGATAGCATCAAGATCATGAATGATGTCATCTGGGTCTGAAGGACTCTGAGAGTTCAGGTCGTGACACCTACTTTGTGCTGGCTACCAAGTAGTACTCTGTTCAGAGCAGAAGCTCTCAAGGGTGTGAGAGACTTCAAACAAGGGCTGACATCATATACGCCTATTGAGGACAGGGATAATACACGTTCCGTTGTCGTGACGAAAATAGCCTGATCATCTTCCTTCCTCTCCCCATCCCTATGCAACTCACGATCACACCCCTCAAGTCCGCTGCTATCCCGTCCGACGACGAAATAATAGCAGCAGGAGAGGCGCTTCTGGCATCCACGACGTCGTGGAAGGAGGGAAAGACCTACCACAAGCAGGTCAAGACCGTGTCGCGCGGCAAGGAGCCTGGAGATGGGGCGCCGTGGCACTGCCGAATCAGCGTGCACAAGCCTGAGGAGGCTACATTCGAGCAGATGTGGGCCAAACTCGGTGCGTATTATAGTCTCATTTGCATGCCCTTGAGCCCAGACTGACTCCGCAGCGGTCAGGCGAGGACAAGGCTATCAACGAGAAAGAGTGTGTTGAGAGTGCATTTCTCTAACCCTGAAAGTGAACGCCTCGTGCTAGGTTTATACCTGACATCCACAAGGTCACCCAAGTGAAGGAGATATCTCCCACTCAGAAGATCTGGACTCTGTACTACACGTTCTCTCCGCCCATCATCTCGCCCCGTGTCTTCACCGTCCTACAAACGACGCGACTGGAAGAAAGTAAACCGCGCACTGGGTTCGTACTGTCCATTTCCTGCATCACAGATACACATATTTATGTTGTTTTCAGGATCATCGTGTCGATCCCCGTTGACTTGAGCGAGGACACAGAACTAAGTAAACTGGAGGAGAAAGGTGTGAAAGGAAGGTACGTCTCGGTCGAGCGACTGCTGGAGTTGGAGGATGGGAGTCTGGAATGGCGAATGGCAACCTCAAGCACACCGGGAGGCAGCATTCCAACGTATTTCGTCGAGAAGAGCATGGACTCGAAGATAGCCGAGGTAATTCAGTGTCCTTCAATACACACTCGCATTCAAAATTATATCCAGGATGTTCCTCATTTCATGAAATGGCTGTCGAGTCTCCCTAAGAGTGATGTTGCTTAGACCAGTTCTATGTATCGCTCGACTGCAGAATCAATCAGTGCACAATTCCTTGCCCCATGACTTCACTTTCCTTCCCAACTGGTCACAGCCGCATTCCACAAGTTGACTTCATGCTCTCGGGTGCCGCCGAAGTGATCAACGAACAGATCGCCGAATATCTGGCGAGCAACACTGTTGGGCTGCATCATCCGGGCATTTGCGGATTCAAGAGAAACCGGTAACATCTTGACCTGCAGGCGGAAGGATCAGCTGTATGTACGAAGTCATTCTTCTCATGCACCGACCTTGCCGGAAAGTCTGTCTTCCGGAGTGAAATGGCTGATGGGCGGTATTTCGAGCTTGAGCTGCTTCTCGATACCCCTGAGACCCAACAAAAACGCAGCGCTGAGCGCAAAATATGGGTTCATGTCAGCTCCGGGGATCCGGATTTCGAGTCTCGTCGCAGAAGGTGGGACGGAAGGTGGTGAGATGACCCGGATGGAGGCTGCTCGCGAGTCATAACCATAGGTTACAGCATTCGGCGCCCAAAATGCAGCCCCGCCTACAAGACGTTTATAACCATTGATTGTTGGCACGAGCTGCAAGCTACATTCAGCACTAAAGCAAGCATTGTCTCAGCGACCGACCAGAGGCACGACTGTGGGCAGATTTTAAGTTACACACACGCAAGTAGAAGAACAGGACTCCACAGACCGTCAGCAATTCCGTCCAAGACTCCCGCTAGAAAAGCTTCGCCCTCCTTGCTCATGAACTTGGTGTCATCGAACGCTGCGTCACTGCGGCCGGTAGCAAGTTCAGACTCTGATACGGCAAAGATGTTCTTCCCCTCGCTGTCTCGTAACGAGACGTGGATGTGTCTGTAGACCATCACAAACGAGTCGGTTCATACCAAGAGGAGTGAGTTCCTACCCGCTGCATCCTGGAAGCTGCGCCAATTCAGTGATGAATCAATTCATCAAACACCGACACGTACATTACCCCAGGGCTTAGCCATAAAGCTTGGGACTACACCCCGCTGCATCCCAATGCTTTTTGCCAGATACTTGAACAAAATCGCATTATCGGCCATGCGAAGTGCCGAGGTATATGCCAACGCTGTTTCATAAACACCGGGGCCCGTCTCCGTGTCTGTCAGATCAGATAAGCTTAGTTCAGCGTATAGAAACGAAGATACTGACGGTGTCCCTCAATATCAATATCGAAGTCAGCGCTCCTGTCAAAAAGATCGTGAAAATAGTCGTTGTTGAGCTGAGTGCGAAGCATCGAGTATCCGTGCACTGCACGCATTGTCAGCCCGATTGTCCTGTTGTCGCCGCACAAAGTACTCGCTTCCTGGTGTCAATGGCTCCAGATTCGAAAACTTCTTCTCCGCCAAGGAGACGGCATTCTCTGAAAGGAGCCGTCACAAGGAGTTGAGACGCCAGTCTTATCCTAGCTTTACCTTTGAAGTTGAAGTACTCGAGGCGGGTCAGAATCGGTGCGCATAGATAAGCGAAATGACAGACTTCAAACTCGACACCCGCCATGCACTGCCTACCTGCCGCCGCCGCTTTCTCCGCCGTGATTCGCATGATTCCACGAGGATCGACGACGATAGGCTCTCGGGTGTCCGGATCTAGGAAAGACACCAGAAAGAATGGCACGTTATTCTCCCAAGGGATGCGGCGATAAGTCGACAGATCAATAGACGCGATGAGGTCTCGATAACCATTGCCCTTGTTGGAGATGAGCAGTTCGCGCGAGTATGTCGTGTCATGAATGTCCCAGCCACTGTGGTTATAAATAGTCGGCATTCGAAGATGATCATGACGACCGCCACGCACAAGATCACGCTACAGAACCCAAACCCGTCGGAGGAAGCGGCGCTGAGGAACTTATCCTTGGACATGAACTTCCCCCGAAGTACACCATCGACTGCACAGATTAGACGGCAAACAGGGGTTCTATTGAGGACAATTACCGTCAACACCTAACGAGAAAGATATGTCAGGAGGCAATGTTATGAGAAAGAAGTGACGCACCTGCGACTTTGACCTTGATGTCATCTTTCAGGAGGCCTTTGAGCTCTTCCAGAGTCTTCGGAGCGTTAGTGGTTGCGGACATGAGCGCTTGAGGAGACCGGTGCGATCTTGATTGTGCAGAGGGCTGGGTTATAAGCTCGCGTGCTCGGACAGGCTCGGACACAGTAGCGGATAAGTACCAAGATAGCACGTGCTATGTATCATCCCCTGTGGCGATGCGATAAAGCACGAACGGTCACGCGCGTGACATATTAATGATTTGCGCGTGGTCGTGACAGGTTGGTCCAGGCGCGTTTAAATCCATCTCGACGGCTTATTCCGCTTGGCTTCGCGTTGCAGTTTGGGCCTCTGATCATACAAATCAAGCCTTCCAGCGGTAGTCATATGCTTCGATTGCCTAAAATGGCAGATGCAAGGTGTCCCATTGTTCCTCCGAAGTGGACCACTGACTCGTCTGACTCGCATATATATACTCTGCAGAACCATAACTCTCTATTCAAGCCATGGTCATACTCGGGGACTTTCCCGTCGAACTCCTTGCTTCGATCTTCGCTCATCTCTCATCCGACACCCGTCAACTTTATCGAGTCTCCCAAGTCTGTCGCTCATGGAAAGAGGCGGCATTTGGAGACTCGAGTCTTTGGCTCAACATCACCATCCGAAACACGGATGTAAAGCATGTTGACCTGGTTTCCGCACAACTCGCTCGTGCTGGCCAGCGCTTGATCTCAATGAATTTGGATTTACACCCGGTGGTCGTTGACCCTCAGGACCTGCTAGCGTTCGCTACTGGGCTATTCAAATCGAATCTTTATAGGTGCCACACTCTCAAAGTAACGGCTAGCTCGGCAGTTTGGAGGATCTTGCTGCTCAGCCTGGAAAACGAGTCGTTTCCCAATGTGGGCGTCGTGGGTATTACCATCATGCCACCCCGGGCAGGGCTTGGATTTCGTGGTTGTATTCCACTCGCGTCTGTCGACGGAGTGGGGCACTTGGAGATGTCCGGCACCAGTGCGATACGTTGGCCCTTCAGGGAAGTACGCTGCTTGCGACTGACAGGCCAACATGCTCAACTCATCGACCGAGACGGACACCTTAACGATTGGCTCACCAATGGCCCACAGACGTTGGAATTCGTCGACTTCGTTGTTCCACCCATGCGCCTTCAGCTAGCCCAAGATTCTGCCCGAATTTCGACCATACAAGAATTGAAATTCGCAGCGCTCCACCCAGCCAAGACGGATGCAGGGGATGAGAGTGACTGTGCCCCATTTTTCGAAGCTCTGAACACTCCCGCATTGGTGACCCTCGAACTGGGGGTCTTCCACGGGCGAGCATTCGATGATTTTCTTCACGCCATTCACAACTCCACTTGGGTCCCCAAGTGTCCCAATTTGCGCGTGATGCGGTTTCACAAGTTCGAGTGCCAAGACCAGGTGTGCGACAGAATATCGTTTCTGCTGCGCACATTGCCCCATATCGAGAACATTGAGGTGACTAGCCATCCAACGAGGACGATGCAGGCAATCCTCAAGGTTCTCGGAGAGAACTCTGATATCTGCCCAATGTTATCCTGGGTAGACGTCGATGGAACGCGGGTGAATCGAGACGCAACAGAAGAATGATGTATTATGCCTGTATTGTTTCTGTAGCAGTAACACTTTTCAAGTTCACTAGCCCACAGAACCGGCTGCGGCCAAACGAGGATTCGTCCCGAGGTAGTACCTCTCCCCGCTGTAGCACGAGACCAACGTACCGGCGTTCTCCCCGCATCCATTTCTCCTTGTAGAACCGCACGAAACCTGGCGCAATCGCGTATATAGTATGATCCCGCCCCATTTTGACCTAGGCAGCGTTGAAAAGAATGTTGCAAGAGAAGAAGCAGAGAGGAGACTGACATGAGCTCCGGGATGGAAGAGAGTCCCGCGCTGGCGAACAATTATGTTTCCGGGGATAACATATTGATCTGCTCATAGTGAGTGCTTTGCACGCAGACAAACGAGCAGTCTTCGCACCAGAGAATTTTTTCACCCCCAAACGTTTACCAGGAGAGCCACCGTGATTGTGAACCGTTCCTCCCGCGCGTTTGGTAGCAGTACGCACGGACCCTAGGAATCATCGCGTCGGCGCTGAACGGATAGGCGTAGCAGACAAGAGCAAACCTATTGAGGTGAACGGGTTTCGACAAGCGTCAAGACAGCGAGTTAGGAACGACATGCTAGCATGCAACGGCCGAAAGCAGCTAGAGGCAAGAATTTGGTGGTCACCAAGTGCCAAGTGGTGTCAATTGACAAAAAGCGGTGTCGGATGATGCCGAAAGTAAACAAATAAAGCCCGTGCCCTTCTGCTCCTCCACACACCTCACGCATTAACCTTCCTTGACACCCACCATGGTCCTCCTTGTCACCTCAGACAATGAGCAGTTCACCACCGAGAAGGACATCGTTGAACGTAGCGTCCTCATCCGGAACATGCTCGAGGGTTTGTATACACTTAGATATCTCCAGACTAGCCACTGAGCCCATCACAGATGTCGGCGAGTCCGATCAGCCCATCCCTCTTCCCAACGTGTCCTCCAGCGTTCTGAAGAAGGTTTGCCTGGAAGCGCACATTCTATGCACTTGTTGACTCCGAATATGACAGGTTTTGGAATACTGCGAACATCACCGCGGCGAGCCCCTTCCTGCTGCCGATGCCGATCAATCGCAGGACGAGACGCGCAAGCGCACGACCGACATCTCTGAATGGGATCAAAAGTTCATTAATGTCGACCAGGAGATGCTCTTTGAGATCATCTTGGCTGCCAACTACCTCGATATCAAACCTCTGCTGTGCGCGTGTTCAAGTCATCTAGTGTATTAATTATTCATCCCGAGCAGCGACGTTGGATGCAAGACCGTTGCTAACATGATCAAGGGCAAGACTCCCGAGGAAATTCGCAAGCTCTTCAACATCGTCAACGACTTCACGCCCGAGGAAGAGGTATGTGTCCACGCTTCGTCCTCATTGCTCTCTGACTCAGCCTCTTTTAGGCTCAAATCAAGAAGGAGAACGTGAGCATCGAAGTATCCCACACCGATTCCCGGCTGATCATAGTATAGGAATGGGCTGAGGACCGATAAGCATTTGATTCATGTCACCCACCACTCTTCACTTTTGTCATTGTCGCGCCCCAAGTTCAAGATATGTCTGTAAATCTATAGCAACCCACAATGATCTTCTCCCATCCAAACATTATTGCATGCGAAATCTGGAAGCTTCCTTCATTCGGCTATGTACATGGCTCCCATAATCTGAGTAAGCACCCAACAATTGCCTCCGACATAGACAAGCCCTCGGACCCATAGAGAATGGAACACATCTTGTCCCAGAAATTCCAATTTGTAGGCTTCTCCTAGCCACAAAGCCTGGGCAGCGACCCAGACAACGATGCAACCCGCGGCCCTTCTCCGCGTCATTTTGAGTTGTGGGAGCAGCATGGGAAGCAGCAAAAGATACCACAGAAAGTACTGGAGGAATCTTTTCAGACACGGACACCGGGGGAGAGCGAAGCCTGCGCACCTGGGATGTGCATACTTTGTTGAACACGACGAAGACGACGGTCTGCACGAACCAGGTGAAGACAAGATCATCAGGCTTACGTCCGAACAGCAGCCCGCTCCCCAGCGTGAGAGCCATCTGCGGGCCGAAGCTGGTCAAAGGCGAGCGCAGGATCCTGTTCCAAATGGAGAGATTCTCCGTGGAGGACCCGTAGGTGAGGTAGATCAGATAGAAGTACGGCGAGAAGTTATGCCTGTGGTCCAGCCTGTGGACATGGTACAGATACGACTCGTAGAGGAACGGATAACCCCATCTATCTCGCGTCATTGAATGACCTAGACTTGACAAAAGACGACTCAGGAAACACTCACACTGCGTAACATCCCAGTCCTAGAAAGACAAAGGTTCCCGCACTTAACACCGCAAAGCGCACCGTCTTCGCGTTGACCAGCGCCCTCGCGTAGTCGTTCATTCCCTTCGCATTGCCTACGCCCCCGATGGCACCGAGGCACGCAACGCCATAGACCAGCGGATAGATCTTCCAATGAGTGCTTGCCCCCATCAGCACGGCAGCTGCATCCCACCGCCCGTTCAACGCGGTATGCAGCGTCAGCAGCACGAAGAGCGAGAGCACAGCTTCAGACGAGCCCCGCGTCGAGATCGTGAACACGAGCGGGTTGAGCAGGTGCAATGCACTGTACATAGTCGCCAGGCGCGCGCGTCGGTCGTTTGACAGAGCCCGAGGGAGCACACGGTTCAGCAGAAGATTATGAATTAGCCAGCCGTTTAACACATCGCAGGCGGCAAAGAGGTATTTCCCGAACGAGGGTGCAGCAATTCGTTGGAACAAGGGCCACGGCAAGCAGCGGCGTGTAACGATAGGTTTCGCGCGAATATGGACTGGAGCAGGATACATGTGTGAGTCCACGGCTGTCTATGGCTGCGGAAGACGGACGCACTCTCCGAGTCCGAACCCGAACCTGCCTCGCGCGTAGTTGTCACTTGTCGGTGTGCAGTAGAAAGCGTGCAGCGTCACTGAAGACACGGTAGTCGTGTCCGTATATTTGACGACGGAATGCGCGTCGTGCCAT